GGAAGGGTAATTCCATTATTATGGAATAAAAACACAAAACTAAGATGATCAACAGCTATAACAGTAATGAGTATGTATCATCCTGGAATGCAACATGCACTAAGATGCAAATGTCTCTTCAGTTCTCTTCAGAGAACTTCTGTCTGAAGTAAAGTTTTTAACAGTCACACAGAATTAACTCTCATATCATATTTGCTTGTTCTGTTATTTTAGATGAAACAAAGAGAATTAAGATTTTATGGTTACCACTACCATTTGTTGTACTCTCTTGTCTTGTTTGCTAGTGGGAACTCTACAGGGTATGACAAATTCAGCCCTTTATTGCAAGTATTTTGAGCAGCAGTGAGAATTTTTTCTTAGACACCACCATATCATCACTTTTCTGTGAAAAGGAGGAAAAATGTTTCCATTGAGAAAAGGAAGATAATTAAAAGTTAAAAGCTTTAAGAATCTAGATAATCTATTTGGTTTTGTTTGGTTTTTTTTTTTTTGCTGGCCACAGCTTGGTTATCAATTTTCTACTCCCAAAGTACAAATGATTAAGCACTTGTAAATTAAATAAGGTTAATGATCTGTTTTGAATAGGTACATCAAGACCTCAGATCACAGAAAAGACTTCCACAAATTTTGAATACTGGGGACAAAATCCAAGACCATATAATTAACTGATATATTAGAAGAATGAAACAGAAAACAGGAAGAAGATGCACATATAAACATTAAAAGATTGATACATAGCAATATCCAAACTCTGTAATTTGCATGCTGTATTAAAAATCCCATTTTGTAGATGTTAAAAATGCAAAGTATCTAATTACCCCGTAGCTATATGCACATATCTACATATGCAGCTGCACACAGTATTTATGCATACCCAAAGTTTCACATTTCACCTAGGACAAAGCAGATGATACCGATCAAAGGGGAAGCTGAACTGAAACACAGATTTTGTCAACAAAACTTGGTAGCCTTAAATAAAGCTGAATGTAAATATTTAACATGTATTGAAATGGAACATTACCAGCTGCCTGTCTAGGATAGGAAAGTAACCTCCAATAAATTGCACGAGCAGCCCCGAAATCAATAAAACCCTTGTGACACCCTTCCAATAAATCAACCTCAAAGCTATAAAACAGACTAAATATAATATGCTGAAACCAATTTGCATATTTTATGCTTAAATGTTTCTTAGTAAGATTAAATACTAGATACCAAATAACTGCTAATACCACAGGATGCGTAAAAAAAAGCCCCAAACCAGAGAGGTCTGATCTATGTTAGATCTAACTAACATTTTAAGCATTTTAAGTAGCATTTGAGAAGTACCTGTTACATTGAGAAATCTCAATTTCCTTTTCCATGAATGCAAGACAATTTAACTTTCTGCTTTTTAAATACAAACTCACCAGCAAGCAGGCTGGAATAAACCCATCCTCTGTACAGTGCTCTGCATATTCTTTCAAATCTGAGCTTTCTAAAATAAATTCACGGCAGGTAGCTAGAAGTTTTTCCTGTTGTAAATACCCTGCAACAAATCAGATGGAAAATTTTGCAATTTCATTCATTACTTCTGCTCAATAGGTATCAAAGCACTAACATAGCCAGCTGCATACAGTGTTGAAATAATCAGGTAAAGATTTGTACATTAGACAAGGAAAGTGAAGCTATTTTGAAAGAAAATAAATCTTGCACAATATTTCCTTAATAGTTAAAACCAGAAAAAGCACAAAATGTTATTGATATTACATTGTATTTACAAAGCATTCAAGACTGGAAGTGAGGCAGTATGAACCATTTCTGATTGATCTCTAGTACAGATAGTACTGTACAGACGAGTAAATAGAAGTTCTTGGCTCAGGAAGCTGACAAACTAACTCTCACGTGGGCATGGGCTGAACAACCCAGTTTGATAGTTAAATGGAATTTTACAATACTTTGTTCATAAAATGCATTGTAATGTAACAAAAACTCTCCACGCTTCCTCCAGTTTCAGAACAGGTACAACCTGTGCAGCTGTTACAACAGTGTATAAGATTTATGAAAAAAATTGGCATTGTACAAAAATGAGTAACAGAAAAAGGTTTTTTTCCCCCCACTTATTGTAATTTTAATTTCAAGTAGATGTACTAGCTACAACTTGTGCCCTGGACACACCCCAAGACTCAGTAGTTACCTTAACAGGACATGTACTGAAAAAGTTTACTTTTCTAAAATTCCATTCCTCAGCAAATATGTTCTGCTTTAACCAAACTTTTTAAGCCTTCCTTTAATCTTAAAATATTCTAAACATTAAAAGACAGAAAGGGACCAATTGGAATGGAGGATTCTAGAACAAAGAACCACAAAAGAAAATGCCTCTTCTTTCTTGCTTGTAGCAAAATTGAACATGCAATGTTTTAAAGAAAGGATAAAATATGTGCCTAATTATACAATGTAGGATATATAAACTTTAGCATATCTATTTCAATGGACCCCCAAAATGGTCCACCTCAGTTCAGGAATGCTTATAGAAAAAAAGCATCTTTAAGTTTGCATGAAGACAAACATCTTTCAGCAGATCCGAGTATAGCTGGAAAAAAACAGATCACATTTCAGACACGTAAGCACTTGTTCAGGTCTTTAACAAATAAGCAAACTTGAAAGTTAATACAATTTGGGAATAACCACTGTGAGTTTAATCAGGATGTATGAGCTGGTCTATCTGACAGAAAGCATTAATGGTACCTGTGGAAAGGGCTGTTCTACTTAATTTTTCAAATACTTTCTGCTAGAAAACTCTCAAGCCACAAACTGACCGAAACTTTAAGTGTATTTTGGGGAAACACAACTATATCCAAGTCTTATTCCTATCCACTATACCATCCATTGTTGGCCAGGATGGAAGATGGGGTATTAGGCTAAGTGGAGCTTTGATCTCTGCTGGTATAGCTGGTCTTACACTCTAACTTATCTGGACATTTATGTAAAAAGTTGCAATGTTTCCTTCTTGAACCTACTACTGCAGCATTGCAAGGGATGACCAAATGCTTGCATACAGGCACGTGGCACACAAACCAATTTCCTGCAAAATAAGGCATTCCAAAGTTTAAAAACATCTGAATGAAGATCTTCTGTGCAACTGAACTGAACCATTTGTGCACACACTGTATAATGACGTAACAGTACAAAATCTTTAACATTGCCAAAATCAAAGGCACAGAAGGTACAGTACCTTCTGAACTAGTAATGATCCAATATTTTGTTCTATCTTAAGAAATGTAAAGACACATGTTTAACTCGTAGTATGCATTCACTCTTAGAAAAAGATACATTTTCTTATGGATTTTTCTATGGGTGAGCTCATCTTATAATTTTATATTTTTTATTAAACCAATATTCATCACTCTTCACAGCACCAGAAAGACTTATATGGACAGGGTGGAAAAAAATAAAAAAAAAAAAAAAAAAAAAAGGAAGAACAGCTACACTGGAGAAAGCCTGTTTATCCACCCAAATTCAGAGATGCCTCATGGAAGTAGAATCCCTATTAGAAGACAGAAATAGCTACAAGGAACACCCTGTTCTACAACCTTCGGTTGCTCAGAAGTTTTCTAGACATGATGCATACACCATGCCCCAACAGACACAAGATAGGATGGATCATCCTCAGTACACGCTATGTTGCCAAGATTGTATGCTACACTTGCAAGTCTCTGGTAAGTACGCAAGATAAGCTTCCTACCCAGAAACTTGTAAACTAACCAGTTTTTTATAGAAGACTATAGTGAGAGATCTTCCTTGCATGATTTTCAACCTTTTATAATGCACAGTTTCTAAAAATCCTGTATTACTTGACAACAATAAAAACACTGCACCTCTTACTAGCCTTGTTTCTCAAGACAGTAGAAACAAACATTTCGCAGAGTATTTAAAAATAAATTGTGGTGGAGGAACACTGAAGAAAACATTCAGCCTTAATGGCTTTGGACTCAAAAAAATTGTGGACAACTAAGAACTCAATCTCACAATGCAAGCTGCCAGGAAATCTTGGCATCCAGTGTCAACGGGTGCTTACATGTGGGACTTAATTATGTGGGTCCTATTTTTGATTATCATCCATTTGTTCTTATCTCCGGCAGCATCCGAATAATCCAAAGCATAAAGCAATTTTAAAAGTTCACTCTCTGCTGCCGACAACCCAAACACACCTGACGCTGCGCTTCCCACAGACGCTGAGCAAACCCAAACTTCTCAACACAGCCCCACAGGTGACAGAAACAGAGAGGGAAAGAAAAACCAACTGAACCTTAATTTAGCCTCCTCTGGTATTGTGGATCACCCTTGTATTCCTCCTGCAATCAGATGCTTTATTAAACCTCACTCACCAGGCATCTGTCTGTCGGTGGACACCAGAAACCACCCCGAGTTCCAGGCAGGCCGGGGAGCGGCGGAGCCCGGCCCGCATGGCCTGGCGGGCTCCCCGCGCCCGCGGCGGCTCCGGGGGCCCCCCAAGTCCCTCCGGATCGAGCTGCGTTTGCCTCCCACTAAGCGAGGGGGCCGGGGGGGGGGGGGGCGCGGGGGGCCGGGCCGGAGACCGCCGGGCCCGGGGCTGCGCGTCGGCGGCAGCGACAAACCCCAACCGAGAGCAGACGAGCGCGATGCGGTCGAGGGTCAAGGGCGCAACCGCTTCGTTCTCCCGCCCCGCCGAGGGCGCTGCCGGCGGCGGGCAACCCCCCGCAGAGCCGCCCCCGCCGCCCCCCCCGACCCTACAGCCCCCGCCGCGCCACAGGGGCGAGCGGCGACCCCGCCCGGCTCTCGCTGGGTCACTCACCGAGCACCAGCCGGGCCACGTCGGACGGCAGCAGCATGGCCCGAAGCGGCGAGCGGAACGGGAGGGAGAGAGGGAGGCAGCGGGACACAGCTCCCGGAGGCGCAGCGCGGCCGCCCCGCCACCGAGGCGAAGGCGCGGAAACTCCGCCAGCCGCCGCCGCGCCCGGCCCCTTCCGCCGGAACCCGCCGCTGCCGCGCATCCGCTTCCAGGTCCGCCCGCGGCAGCCGCCGCCGTACGCGTGCTGCGCGCCTCTCCGCGCCGGTGGGAAGCGGGAGGTGCGCGGTGCGCGTGTACCGCAGCCACCGGCCGTTCTCCCCGGCCGGCTCCCGCCGCCCGCCAGGCCGCTTGGAGGTGGACCCGCACCGGGCCGCGGTGGCGGCGCTGCCTCCGCACCCGAGGCTCCGCGGCCCTGAGGGGCTGCGCGGCCTTCCCTGGCCCGGGCTGGGGTCTCGGTGGGAGCGTGGCGAGCCCGGCCCTCAGCCCCGCCGTCCGCGGGCGGCTGAGGTGAGGGGCCCGGGCCCGGCGGGGCGGGCGGACGGCGGCCCTTGAGGGGCTCCACGCGTGGGGGGGCGGTCGCGGGCGGGGGTCGGGGAGCTGGAGCTCGTCGTGTAGGAGCGGCGGGGTGGCGCCCGTTAGTTGTGTGTACGCCTGTGCCTGAGCACCTCTGCCGCTGCTTAGGAAACACCGCTCCGTGATTTAATTTTTTTGGCGTGCGTTCCTTCCTTGCCCTGTGTAATTTTTTTGTAGGGAATGAACGTGGTCATAATATGATAGTTGGAGAACCGTGTAACCAGTATGAGAAATAGTAAATTGATCCAATCTTACGAATTTTTCATTATTGATGTTATGGCTGTTGAAATACCATTAAGTACAAACAAGAGGACTGACTTCTCCCCCGTTGATATGCAGTCCCTACAACATCCAGCCTATGTTGTCACAGTTCCTGGTCGACCATTTTTCAGCCCATCAGCGTTTTAGAAGCCATGAGCATTTAAAAAGTTATTTCCTTTCTGTTTTTCTTCCAGCAAAAGGAGCGAGTTAGTAAAGAAACACTTTATTATTTAAATGAGTTCAGTTGTACAGTACAGCCAGTCTTCATGTTTACATTTTCCTTTTCATACCCACCTAACAGGCACAGTATCTCTGATCGTACTTAGTCCCAGCTTGATCTTGATTGAAGCTGAAAGAAATAAATACACTCTAAGACAGTAGATATTTAAAGTTTTACTTGCCTAAATGAATATTTTTATATTCTCACTTACATGCTAAGGATGAAGTGCTACACATCATTAATGCCTATTCTCAATTGCTTATTGTAGCCTTGGTAGCATATGCATGGAATTACTCCCAGTTTGTCTTATCTGTCTTTTTTAGACAGAGTTTCTCTTGGGTCTGCTTTAAAGGCATAAAAGGAGAAGCATGGAAGTTGTATGCCATGTCATTGTCGTTATCTTCATCAGCATAACTTTATGTAAACCAGAAATGCAAGATCCAGCTCGTTCCCACCTCTTGAAGGAGATGAGGCATAATTTTAAGTGGTCACAGAAGGAAAAAGTTGTATTCTCTTACGATTGATATTTGAGCATCCTTTGACATGTTGAGTCCAGAGGGATTTGTCAACATGATAGTACATACCTATGAAAATGTAGGATGTGAGACAGCCAGAGAGTTTGCAAAGTGCTACGTTTTCCTGGCAGCATCAGGTTAAGAGACAGCTACTGATAACAGCTAGCTACTGAAAGTGCTGTTTTCCTGAATGTATTCAGTTCTGTATCATTTTAATCTTATGATTTTGCTCCATATTGTCTTACCAACTCTGTTATCACTCATAAAAAGGGAGGAAGTCAAGAGTTATATGAAGGGGGTCTCTGCTGTTATTATTTACAACTGTTGCCTGTGGGAATAGATTACATTGTTGGCATGAGACTTCGCTTCAGTCTTGTGACCAATAAGACTAAACCAGATGTGAATGAGCTTTTTGGTGAACTAGCAATGTGGTTGTGTTCAATACTGGATTTTCAAAATATTGCATTCTCAATTTTTTGAATGGTTGACTTGGTTCTGCATTAAACAATTACTGTTTTGTCCTTTTCTTCCGTTTGCAGATACACATTACTGTTCTGTTAAACTGAACCATGAGTCTTGCATTACATGATCTGCTCATTTGTTGTCGTCGCCTTGAAAATGAAAAAGCTGTGGAGCGAAGGGTAACAAGTTTTCTTTTGGTGTGTGTGTCTCAATTAGCAATGAAGGGAATCATTAATAATTATTTTTATTGAAATACATTTTCAGAAGGAAATTGAAAATTTCAAGCGACTTCTCCGTGATTCTGAAACAGTTCTCCAGCTGGATCGGAATTCTGATTCTAAACAAGGAAAGCAACTCAACTGGGATGCTGTATTTAGGTAGGGTTTTTTTTCTTTCTATGTGAATGGTTGCAGTTTTCTTATATGGAACTTCATTCTTTTATCAGGCCTGTTATAATGCTTATCTTTCTGCAGATTGGCTTAGACTCCTTGTCAGCTTGTAAACAAGAAATTATTTATGTTAGTCTCTAAAGGAAGTAAATTTCAAATGTCCAAAAATGCAACAGTTATCACATCCAGGAAACAACTGCTAGGAAATTGATCATTAATTGGGTGGTCATTTTAACTTGTAAAAATAATACTTTCTTTTATTGAAAATTACCATCTGCATCTGATTTTCAACATCTAGTTCATATGTAGATTATAGGTAGCTCATTAGGATTTTTTATGTTACTGAGTTCTTCAAGACACAATAGAAAGACTGTGGCTTGTGAATTAAAAAAGCTATGCTGAGGTTTGTAGAGGCCTATCTTTGATACAATCTGCTTTAGGTGTACTATAAAATTGAGCTGAGTGTGAGTGTGGTAAGTTCTTAGAGCTTCTGGGACCAGCGTTGAATTTCATGTTAGAAGTGCATCTGAAGTATTAGTTTTCATAGGTCAGCTTTCCATTAAGTTTTTTAATTGGACAGCATTGAAATAGTTCTTGTTTCATAGCTGTACCAAAAATATCATAAGAAGTATTTGATAAAGTTTATATGTTGCTTTTGAGATGGCCAGTAATATATTAGAAATACACAGGAGGAATACAAAAATAGACACTCTAAACTGAATAAAAATAGTGGGTCAGAAAATCTACAGTAGTTGCCAGTGACAAAGCCAGTGAAATGTTTAATCTGTTCTTAGATCTAAAAATCTAATCTATACATTAATTTTAAATGATGGAGAAATAGGACTTGAAGGTTTTCCCTGATAAAAAACAATGAAGAGTACTTATTATTTTGTTGTATAATGTTGCAGCATAAATAAAAAGACTTAGCAGTGTATTTTTCCTAATTATAAATAGTATGTTTAGCATTATGCAAAGTTTAAAGGAATGTTTAATTCCTATTCAAGTTGCTTTTGGATTATCTTTAAAATTTACAACTCCTTTTATAGATTATTTCTATCATGCTTAGACTGTAATATATTTCGGTTGTTTTTAGTCTTTGATAATTACAATTGTGAGAAGAACAAGCACTCACATTCTAGGCTAAAACATCATTTACCTATTTTACTTTAATCATAAATGTGCAGATCCTTGATTAATCTCTCTTATTTTTGAAGCGTCTTGCAGAAGTATTTCCAGAAAGAAATGAAAAACCTGCAGCTGACGAAACCAAATGCATCTGCTTCAACCCAAACTACCAGACAGAAAAAGATGCAAGAAGTTGGAAGTTTGGTCAAATTTTTCATCAGATGTGCTAATAAAAGTCAGTAATATGTATTCGTATAGAATTACTGTTTTGCTTTGGTGCTTTGCTTTCAGCTTTGAATTTTCACTCTGAAGTAAGTTATCGGGGTAGGGTTCATCTTGCTCACTTCCAGGTGTTTACAATTTAAATATCTGCGTGTGAACCTGTCCTTTGTGTCCCTTTGTCATGCTGATGTTCACAGTGCCTTTTTCTGATTATTCAATGTGTATATAACGGATGTATCCTCTCATAAGTAATTTCTTTCTTAGAAACAATTTGTTTAAGATGATTCCAAACAGAACTGTTTCTGAACTGTGTTTTTTTTATTATTATTATTTTTAAGTAAACATTTACAGACAATTAATTCCAGGTTTATTTGGCAAAATTTGGGTTACTTACAGTCTCACGTTGTTTATTCATGTAGGAGGACCCAGACTGAAATGTCAGGAACTTCTGATTTACGTCATGGAAATTATAAGAGATCCAACGAGTTGTGCTGCTTATGGATCTGACTGTAGTAGTATACTCCTAAAAGATATCCTTTCAGTAAGGAAATACTGGTGTGAGATATCCCAACAGCAGTGGTCAGGTAACATTTTCAAGCCTACTTACAAATGTCTTTTCTTACCATAGAAGCTTGTTTCAATGTATTTTAATTTGTTTGATGCCCTGTTGTGTGAGGTACTACACAAAACAGGGAGTAAAATAATGTCAGCCTTGAAGGCTTACAGTTGAAGTAAGCAAAGCAACAAAGACTAGGAACTGATTTTTTTCTTTCTGCATACTGTTTGTCTATTGTTTGCTGAAATGTATGTACTTATATACAATCATGTTACGTATGCACAGGGCTTAACAGGTATAACAAATCTGTGGAATGTGTGTGCTGAAAATAGCCTCAGTAAAACTGGTGTTGGTGTGCAGTCGTTTGCAAGTTATTAGGTGTTGGCTAGTATAGTTTTGATGTAGTTAATGTATTACTATTAAATTTTATTATCTGAGTTTTGTTGGCTTATGAAGTGCTGAAGGGGGGAGGAGGTGGAGGTCAGCATGAAAGCTGCATTTGGGAGGATCGGGAGGCTTTTTAAGCAGGACCGATAGCAGGTCTTGGCTCACTTAGATGAGACTTGACAGAGGCTTGGGAATATGAAGCACTAGACAGGTGGCAAGAGTAGCAGTTCCAGAACAAAAGTACACTAGTCCGTGCTCTTAGGTAGTGACTGGTGTGCAGGCAGTTGGACTTGGAGAAAAAAGAGGAGGTTCTGTCAAGCAGGGAAGGGGTTTTCAACTCTTCCAACAATTTATGTGGGGACCTGGTCCACAAAGGCTCTATTCGGGTGCTTAAATGGAGCATGGAGGATAAGACATGACACCAGGGTTTACAGACCATTTTGGCTTTTTGGGCCTTTTTTTGTCCATGGAGAACAGTAGTATTGTGCCTGCTTTTTTAGTTCAGACAGGTCAACCAGGTTTTGTTAGTTTCCAGTAGATCCTGTTGGTCTTCAGGAGAAAGATCATATTGCTGCTGGATGATATACGTTTCCTATGTTCAGAAATATTTTTTCCTGTGTTTTTTTTTTTTTTTAAATCGTATGCAATATGATCAAGACAATTCCTTGTTTTGATGAACAGGAATTTCCGTGTTCATCTCTGTATATATTATAGATGTGTTGTCTCTCTCGGGGAATTAGTGAATAATTCATATCAGAAAAAATCTCAGATTTCTAGTCCAATCTCCTGCTTGAAGCAGGCTCAGCTATGAGGAAAGATCAACTAGTGTTGTGGAATTGAGTTTTCTTATTTTTTGAATGCTTTTTGTTCCTGTGCTTGTTCTGCTGCAGGTTTTTCTCCCATTCAGATTCTAGTCCTTGTGTAAAACTGTGTGTTTTCCTTACATGTGTGTTCTTTGAGGGGAGGTCAGCCTAGAACATGGAGAGTAGATGTGAAAAGAGTTCCTTCAGTAAGCACCCTGCAGGTCTGATCAGGAGTGGTTTCTTAACCTGAGGAGGTCCCAGTATAAGAATCCCCTGCAGGGACAGGGGGCATTGGCTGTGGGCTGTTGTGACCCTGGGCTGTAGGGCACTTGTAGTTTTGCAGGGCCCCCTCTTCTGAGGGTGTTGAGAGGTCACTGATGCACATTCCACTTCCACCCTTTATGCAGAAGGGACACAGTTAAACCAGGCTTGGGCACTGTTGTCACCAGGTTAAAACTTTGTGACCCAGTAATATCAGGGTATGAATTGTCTCTGATTGCCATGATTCAACAAGTCACCTGAGTTCTGCAAATGACCCTATGCCTGCTTGGGAAGAAGGTGCTGGTATCTCTATTGAATCCAAGGCTGGAGTTATGAAAGACTTGGTGAAGGTGGCATTATGAGTCCTGCTGGAGTTCAGGATGTCCATAAATCTACGAAGGTCTGCGGAACAATGAAGCAGTAACGTTGTGATTTATTTATAGTTATCCTAAGCTGGCTTTTCCACAACACAGGAATCCAGAGCTTAAGGCTCTGAATGATGCCATCAATGTCACCCATGCAGAGTATTCAGAAGAAGAGATTCTGAGAGAGTGCCTCAGAGGCCTTGATCCTGACTGTCTGTGGAGAGCTTATTCACCCCAAGCTGATGAGCTACTGACCAGTAGAGTTGAGGGTTATCAGGCTTTTCTAGGCCATAGTCACTCTACAGAGCAGAAGTACAGTAACTGATCATTCTGCATCCCGAGAACTATATGATACAGCTACTCTGAGCTCATGTCTGGTTGACTGTCAACAAGGTAGTCGTAGTGGTTGGGACTCCCAAAAGATCGTTCTACCTCTATTTTTCCTTAGAGAAAAGGAGGCCTGAGAGGTGGATGTCCTTTCATTCAAAGTGTTGTCCCAGAATAGCTGCTGAGGTCATAGGACTGACTTAGTATTTCTTCCCGCTATGGTTCTTTGCAGTGGATATTGTCCATTAGTGGACTGAGGAACAGTATCATGTCACTTGTAGGTGGCATAAATGAAATAGCAGCAAGGCTTTTGTATGTATCATGTTAAACTGATGGTGATGGTTGGATCAGTAATGTGCTACTATGATTTGTATAAGACTGATGAAAAAGAGCAGTGTGGTGATTCCTAAATGGGCCTTGAGATAAGAAAGCAAAAATCCCAAGAAGGGGCCTTTCCTTCAGAAAACTGGTAAATGAGTGCAAAGTATGGATGTGTTGGTCTGTGGGCTGGAATGAACTAGCTGAACTGCATATAATGGAAATATAGGGAGCTTCAGTACCAACTGTTCTGATCTGTTTACCTGTTCCTGCTACACCAAATTCTTGGTTAAGGTATGTGTGGCTGTAAATTGTTTCTGAGTACTTTTATTGTGTATTCTGCAACAAATGGAGCCCACTGTGCTGAGCCATGAAATGTAAAGTAGAAGTTGAGTGTGCAAGTAGTTGTGAAAGTTGATCATGTGTCTATAGCTACTTTGCTCAGCGTAACACAAAGCAGACTGTATCCCAGCTCAGAATAAATATAACTTTTCTTCCAGTGTAGACAAGACCATGCGTTCTATTTCTTTCCCCAAGTAACTTTTGTGACGTGCAGCTGAATTCCGTGGTAGTTTCTATATATTTAATGCAGTATTTTGCTTCAGGCATTTTTGGTGTAATCCTCTGTCATATATATATTTATATATTTGTATATTTACAACATATAGACACACTATATCATACATACTTTTTTTAATACATTTGCAGAGTTACTGATTTTGTATGGCCAATTGTACCTCAAACCTTCTGGGAAGATCAATAGAGTCTTGGTGGCTAGGATAATTCACACACTTACGAGAGGGTACTGCTTCCAAAGTGATGGTTTGAATTCTGATATGTTTATCTTCTTTTCAAAAGTAATGCAGTGTGCAAGGTATGTTGCAAGTGCTCCTTTTGTATGCTAATACCTACTTTTAGACAATAACTCATTTTAAGTATTTGGGATTAGACTTGAGTAATACTTCTTTAGACAGGTTTTGTTCTGTCTTTGAACACCAATTTAATAAATTCTTTAAAATATTAATAACTTCTGCCTATGTTAGGCAAATAATATTCTGAATATAGTTACTTGCTAGTATTTATGTTTAAACAATTCCTGTGAAAAGAAATAAGATTATTTCTTCTGGAAGTTTGAGTGTTTGGTCTATGTTGCAGGCAGGAGAAGAATACTGCAGGCCTGGATCATATTGTTGGAGCAATGAATATCTTCTGCAATAAGTTTGCTGTCAACTGTCGCATACGGATTTGTAAAGTAGGCGAAGAAATTTTGCCTACAGTGCTTTATATATGGACTCAATATAGACCAAACGATTCCCTGAAGGAATCAATAATTGAGTTATTTCATCTCCAAGTTCGTATTCATCATCCAAAGGGTGCAAAAACTCAGGGAAAAGGTACAATAAAAAGCTCCCTGCTTTTTTTCTGTCATGATGTGATGGTTCAAATCACTGTGCCAATTTTCTGAATATTGATACAGAGTCTTGGAAACATTAATGGGAGTGATGAATACTTGTCAGTAGTTTTACACTGTAGGTTAATATTGAGTGAAAGTGAAAATGAATTTTCAAATTGTTTGCACTAAGAGAATATAAATCGTATTAAGTCCTGTAAAGGTTGATTGGATTTTTTTTAATCAAAAGGTGATTTTAATTACTAAATCAAAACATAAAATCTTTGGGGAAGGGAAATAATAGTTCAGATTAAGTTTAGATTGGCACATGTATTCATATGTTAACAGTTTTATTTAAACCCAGAAATCAGTCCGGTGGTCTATGTCTGATTTACTGTGTAAAAATGGTCAGAGAACATGACTCAGCTATTGTGTTTGTCATGGCCTATTTCAGTTATAGCATCATTTTTTGTTTTACTTTGTCTACAAATGACAGAGTTTTTAATTAGTCCAAATTTATCCACTGCATTTCATTGTAGTCTTTTCAGTTAGATAACGAATTGTTTATTAGAAACGTCTTTCCTACCCTAATTACTTGTCTATGCTGATTAAATTATCTCTTAACTTTTTACACTTTTTTTCCTTTATTCATTCTCTACTGTAAGGCTTGTTTTGCAGGCCTGCATTCATTAAGCTTTGTATGCTTTACTCTGATTTTGGCTGTATTTTGCATTGTCTAGGTAGCTTTACATATTGTATCAGGTGGGTGGTACATGATGTCTTTTAATTGGTTTTGCATGTACAGGTGCCTATGACTCAACAAAATGGCAAACTATCTTACATAACTTGTATGATTTGCTGGTGAATGAAATAAATCTCATCAGTAGTAGAGGAAAGTATTCTTCAGGCTCACGTAATATTGCTGTAAAAGAGAATTTGATTGAGTTAATGGCTGATATTTGTCATCAGGTAACATTTTTATTTGAATATAAAGTTGACTATTTAATTACTGTGTTGTATGTTTTGCTTTTTAACCTCATACGGATGTAACTTTTCCTCAAAATCATTTATTGAGGCATTAGTAACTTTGGTCTGTGTTCTGTTGTGTTTAGTTGTTAATTTTTGTGTTGTTTAGAAATGTGTGGACTCCTAAATTATACTAGGTTTTACTAGTATTGCTTATTAGACTATAAGCAGAGGTTCTGTTATAGTAAAGAATAATAAATAATAATTTCAGTTGCCTCCTAACGGACTTTATACATAGTGAAAAATGGACTAGTTTAGTTTGACATTTCAGTTTTCCTGTAAATGCTACTTCCTTTTATTTGTGTACTTTTAAATTTCTCTTTATAAAAGGTTTTTACAGAGGATACCAAAGTTCTGGAAATTACTCAGTCATACACTGTTTCACAAAGAGAATCCAGTGAGGAAACAGTCCCAAGCAAGCGCAGGAAGATTGAATTAGGCTGGGAGGTAATTCGAGACAACCTTCAAAGATCCCAGAAGGATTTTGATGTCATACCTTGGTAATAACGTCTTTATATGAAACAAATATCACTACAGACATCTTTTTACTTTCTAAGTGTTCTCCTCAATATCCTGTGCTTTCAAATTAGGTGTCTGCACGTGCTGTAATTATATATCTAACCACCAAGCTTCAATTCTCACAGCATTTGGAAAGCAGTGAGCAATGTTCTTGGCACTCTTGCTTTAAAAACTTAGTATGTTTGGTTTCCTGAGAAATAACAAATCAAGTCCGATAAACATGTAAGATATTACTGCCTCTGATTTTTTTACCTGTGTTTTGTGCTAGATACCACCAGTCTTAATGTAAGTATGTGTGTGCGATCCAGTTTGAGTGTTAGGAAGTTAACGTGAGATGTACTGCTGTCTATACCTGGTTGTGTCATAGGACAGCAACCATTAACAGTTTAGCCATTTTGGACTAGTTCACGCAGTTTACAGTAATACTTAGCCTGAAAACTGTTGAAGTGCAAGGCCTGGCGTGTTAACTTGGACCTCGATTGAGGAGTATTTTGTTTGACATGAAGGACTTCTGTGTATATAGCTACATGTCTTCTTCCACTGACTGCCACAGGAGAAGGACTCTGTAGCAGAGAGTGTAGCAGGGTGTCAAGTTTTTGTTAGAAGGCCACAATTAGACTTTTCCAGAACTTACCTGCTGTAGTCCTAAGCCCAAGAATGTTGACTTTTTAGCCAAAACAGATTATGCTGGATGTTTTTTGCTGTTACTGTTCCCCTCCGTCTTTCTGACTTTTCTTGGAAGCTGCTGTACAAGATACCAGAACAGCATAGCTGCTTGTGAATTGGGTCCAGAGCTGGGGTGGCAGGTTTGTGTTGTGTGTATGCATGTGTGTTTATTACTCACAGTATTGAGGAAGGTGGCTGTGTGGGATCCAGTTGAGAAGTTAACATGCCATTCTATGTGGAGGTGGCAATCTCCAAGAAATACTGAGTACTGTAATTTACTAATTTGTGTAGGGTTGCAACCATTGCTATGAACAAAACCCTTCCAATTTTACCATCCCCAGCCTAACATTAATTTGTTAATTTGATAAAATTAATTTTTCTTATCTGTAGAGATGTTGTTGTAATGTTTCCTGTTTATGTAATTTCACCCCTGAGGTCATTCCCTGGCTCAGTGTATAACAGGCTAGTCCAGAAGAAGGAGAAAAATTTTGTTTTGCCTGAAATTTTCTTCCCTTGAGGTCAGAAATCGGTGAACTCAGCTTGTAAGAAATTAAAGATCAGTGAAGTCAGATTGTAAGAAATCATTCGTGAGCAGACTTTACAAGTAAAACCAGTAGAAATACTGAATCTTTAACCTTTGACAGTAAACAAATCACCTCAATACTGGAAAGTATAAATGTGAAATAACAATCAGAGAATGCTTTGTCAGTTCATTTACTTTTGAAGACACAAATACGCATGTTTGATATTAATTGTTTCACTTTGTGTTTTCAAGGTTACAGATTACAGCTCAATTAATATCGAAGTATCCCATGAGTCTTCCTAACAGTGAGCTACCTCCCTTGCTCAATGTACTTCACCAGTTACTGCCTCAGCAGCGCCGAGGAGAAAGGACCCCATACGTGCTGAAGTGTCTTAGAGAGGTAGCTCTGTGTCAAAACCAGAAAACTGATTTGAAAAGCACCCACAAGTTGGAGCTCCAGAGAACTTGGGCAAAGATTTGGTCTCTTACCGTTCGTAGCATAAGTTTCCAGCAAATTGAAGTGGAGAACTTTGGGCTACTTGGAGCTATGATTCAAGGAAACCTTGTTGTAACAGATAAAGAACTCTGGAAGATATTTTCAGGACCTGCATGCAAACCTTCAAGGTAGAATGGGAAGCAAGGATAATATTTTGTGTCTGATTCACATTGTTTTTTATTGTTCAACCAAAACAGCTGTATTATTCAAAATAATATTATTGTTGTTGTGGATGTACTTCTAGTTAAGAATTGACCATGTTTGCTTTTTAAGCATTTGAAACAGATCTAAGTATGTACATAAGTCTGAAAGCAGAGGCAGAAGAGGAAAGGCAAGCATCTTCATATTTAACTAAAAATGTAAAATGGACAAAAAATTTAAACTGACTGAAAGAGATGTTGATTTTTTTTGCTGTTAAAAAGTATGTTTTCTTCTAAATATGTTTTGATTCTGAAATGAATATTTTGAAACAGTCTTTAAAATAGACAGGAAATGTCTGTAATAGCCAAAATGTGGCTTTTGAAAATGCAAAGATTCTAATAAGGAAGTTTTCCAGTATGCATGCTTATTAACTTGCATATGTACATGATGATCCCTGAGCATGCAGGAATACTGATTTTGCTTTGGAGTGCTAATCAACAAATACCATGTTGTTTCTCACAAATGTCCTGTGTTCCATTTTCGTTACAGTTCTGCTGTGTGTTGTTTGTCATTAGTGATGTCTGCCTATTCAGTGCCAGAAAATTTGGATGTAGGAATGGAACAGAACAATTGTGAAAGAAATCTGGATTCTGTGTTAAAGGAGGCAATAATGAAATGGCTACTGTCCTGCTATTTGGAAGAAGAAATGGAAGAATGTGTAGAGTTGCCTTCTGTGCTTTGCAGGTAGTCTTTGTGGCCTAATTTTATATGTAAACTCACCCTATAACACAGAAAAATCTGCAGGGAAAAGTGGATTTGCACAATTTGGTACAGTTTATAGGGTTTTAAGCTTACCGTAGAATGTCATTCCGTGGACATAATTTAGTTCTCTGTCCATAGCATAGCAGATACGTGAACTATGTGTTCTTAAGTGAAAACTTAAGCTTCTTTGAAGATACACTGTTAATCTGGTTAATGTTTGGGTGCGCTTCAGGAATCCTAAAAGCTTGTCTGATTGCAAGAAAATACAAAACAATTTTCTTTTTTTACAGTGATTTTCCTCATCTTATATTGCAAAAAATTCTTGTGAGCCTTACAATGAAGAACTGTAGAGCTGCCATGATTTTTTTCCAAAATGATGCTAAATGGTATGTTTTAAAATCAATCATTATAGATACTTAAGTTTATATTTGTCATTTTAGCAAGCAGAGGTAATTAAATGTATAATTCTCTAAGCTCTTTCGCATCTTTTTGTATAACAGGTTTCAGACCCCATAAAAATAATAGCGCTTTTGCAATTTGTTAAGGTGCTTTCAGCAGACATTAAAATAGCCTCTTGCTGACAGAGTCAAAGCTTCAGGTACTGAACAAAATACCTTACAAGGAATATGTGTATCATCTCTCTTCAGCAATACAACTAAATACTTGGCTCTTTATCCATAAGTACATCAAGTATTTTTTACTAATTACAATTACATTTTTTGAATAATTTGTAACTTTATACAAATATGTATTCATGCTTCCTTAACTTTACATTCCATTCTAAAGGAAGCATATACCTTACGAGTTTTCTTGAAGATAAATGCTAAGTAGAAAGTTGGCTAGATGCTTACTGTCCATATATCCTCATGCCACTCCACCTGTATTTGTGGTCCCAGCAACATATTACTTGAGTGTCAGAGTCATTCTATGAACACTGTGGCATCTTTCATTGATGCGTATACTCAAGCTCTTGGACTATATCCAGTTTCTTCATAATGAAACTAAAGTGTGTATAAGTTGTTCTGCTGGAATATAAGACTTTCCTACTAATTAAAAATACTACTTTCAGGGATTTTGTGAATTTCTGCTCCAGTTGTGTAAAGTAGGTTCAGGTCAGCCATCTTAACACAAAACAGATGCTGCTATATGAACTACAGTAGAACATATGATGTGTATGCAGGCTTTGTTTTTCCTTGCAGTTTCTTCAGACAGAGCTAAAATGGTGATATCCATTCCACAATGAAAGTCAGATTAGAAAATAAAGATCAACCACAGTTTGGAAGCACAAAAAGATAAAATATTTTATTTTGCCCTCCTTTATTTCTTGTGTTTAAATAATAGTTTTAAAGACTTATAAGTTGTATAATGGCTGCTAAAGAAAAAATTACATCTTTTCTTCAAGTGTGCAACACTTGCAAGGGAAAGAAGAAAACCGTTTTTCTGATGTTGAAGAGCTGTATTTGCAGACAACGTTTGATGAAATGGATATGTTCACTGACTTTGCAGTAAATGTTGCAGATATAAATGTGACTAGTTCAAGACTTGCCATCAACCAAAATCTTAGGGAAGCACTGGAGTACTGTCTTTCAGCAATGTCAGAAAAGCTTTTAAGCAACTATGCTCCTAAGGTAAGTTAGAAATTACTGTTACATCTTTATATTTGTGCTCCCAAACAATATATTTTCAGGGCAAAGCATATAGATTTTAATTCCTTTTGCTGCTAAAAATGAAGCACAAACATCTTAAAAACTATATCCAATAATACGAAATAGAGAAGTCTGTATTTCTTTACATCATTGGCAAAATATCTGTAGTTTTCATAAGTGTGTGGGAATGTGTAGAAGCTGCATGGAAGTGTGTGCAAAGTTGCCACATAAACCACTGTTACTCTTGCTTTTAACTTCTGTGCCCCTGTAATGCTTTAAGCTCTTGCCAGTTTTCAGCCAAGATAGCCTGAGACACAGAAGTCTCAAATAGTTAGGTTTTGTAGAAGGAGGCAGCTGTGTAACAGAGTAGTTGTAAAGAAAGCTGCAAATATGGGCTGTATTAACAAGAACAGTGCCCAAGGGAATTGATTATCCCCCTCTACTCAGTGCCTTTAGATGGCATCTGAAATACTGCATCCAGTTTGGAGCCTGCCAGTACAAGACAGACATTTGGTGCATTCGAGGCCAGTGAGATGGTGGGGGCTTCAGCACTTGACCTGTGTGGAGACACAGAGGAAATTGGGCTTGTTCAGCCTGGAGTGGAGGTGGCTTTGGGGATACGTACCAGGCTTTGGGGGAGCCTGCCAGTGCATATAAGATTGTCTAGAAGACAGAGCCATGCTCTTCACAGTGGTATATTGCAGGAAGATGAGTCAGCAGGCAGAGTCAGGAGACATTCACACTGGATACGAGAATAATTTTATCTACATAAGTTCAGTCAGGCAGTGGCACAGGTTGCCCTGCGTGAGAGGTTGTGCAGTCTTCATCCTTGGAGGTTTTCAAGCCCTGACTGGATCAAGCCTTGAGTAACCTGTTCTGACCTCAGAGCTGTGAGCATGAGGTTGGACCAGAGACCTGCTGAGGTCCCTTCCAGCCTTAACTATACTGTCGTCCTATTTGTGTATTTCACTGGTTAAATCACCACAGAATCTCTCCTTTGGAGAAAAATCTTGACTTCTGGAGGAAGAGCCACCACATGATGGTAAAAAGTTTGTGGAAAAAAAAAGCGTCAGTCTTTTTAAACTTCCAGTTCCTTTGGCAGGCTAGCTTTGGTTTTAATGTAGTGGTGTGCTTTCCTTGCAATTCATTGCTAAGGTTCCGTAATATTTAGTGAGCCAAAAGAGGTAGTACCAAAATTTGAAACAAGGTACTGGCGATTAGGAGCTATAAAACTTACCCCTGGTTTTGCAGCTGTAACCATGGTGTGTATGCGTAAGTTTTCCCATCTTTTTTTATAGATACCTGCTTTTCAACAATGTGATAGCAATCCTTTTTGGTCTCCCCCCTGAGAAAGTAAGACAAATAATTATTTGTCTGCTCTTTCTCCTCCTTTGATCCAAATAATTTAGACAGGTAAAAAGGGATCTCTGAAATGCTTTTGCAGTAAGCTTGCCTGCATTTACAACTATCTGTGTGTCGTGGTTTAGGCCCCATGCTGCTGCACTGTGGTTGGCTGCCAACCAGGCCTAAACCAGGACACTATGCCATTTGTTTGTTAACATAGTAGCTGCCAAGAAGCAATTTACAAATATACTAAGACTGGAGGAGACAGCAGTGAGAATGTGATACAGTTCCTGACTAGCTCATACTGTCTCTTGTCCTGGCAGGAGGTAAAATAAACAAACAGAGCATGTGAGAAGAGCTGGAAGTATTGCTATAATGGAATCTAAAGGAGAGGGAGAATTTAAGGTATTGGGAAGGAAGGAAGCATAAGGGTCATGAAACATACAGAGAATAGTATAACACGGAGAGCCAAAAGGACTTATTAGGGAGCTGAGGCAAGTGCAATGCAAAACACTGGGATGCAAATCTTCATTAATTTTGGTGAAATCAGTATATAGAAGTGTTTAAAAAAGACTCCAAAGAATTCTGTATTTTGATGAAAACGTTTAATGATAAACCACTGGTATTTACTGTGTATTTGATTTAGTTTAAGGTTGTTGCTGCAGAACACCTTGTTCGATGTGTCAGTCTCTTGATTGGCGTTCTTGGTTGCTATTGCTACAGTGGTATATTTAAAGAAGAGGATGCCTGTAAATCAGAGTTGTTCCAGAATGCTAGGGTAAGCAGCAATGTATTTGGGAGCTATTAAAAATTAAATAAACCATTACATATGAAATAATTTTTAAAATTCTATTCATATTAACACATTTTCAGAGCATGAATATTTCCACTGGTTTCTTTGTAAAAAAATTCAGTTGAGAGAGGGTTAAATACATTTAACTGAAATTCTGTTAGTATACCAATGCATCAGTTTTGCAGTGGAGTATTCTAAATACTGATACATTTCTGAGTCACCCCTTTTAAAAATATAAAATAATCATGGACATGTGGACAAAGGGCTACTTAGAGGATAACAAGTCCTTCCAATTGTAGATCTTTTATGCAGAAATTTGTTAAGATCACTTGGTGGTTTAAACCACTATGAAGACAGCTATTATTAATATTATTAATAATAATAATATTATTAATATTATTATATTATTATGCTATTATTATTACTACTACTACAACTACTACTACTGTCCAAGGTGGTTTCTTGCTTAAATATGGAAACCCGAAACTTACACGTTATGGAGAGATGTTGTATTTTTCTTTTGTGATGAAAATATCAATGTTTCAGGCAGATCTAGGCCATCTTTTTATTATTTCTGGAGCAGAATGAGTGAAACCAATACCAAAGAATAAAAAAAGTCCAAACTCATTGATGCACACTATAAATGTCAAAGCTATGTGAATGAGAATATAGGAAGCAAGTCTGAATGAGAATCATGTCCTTTTGTCCCTGTATGTGTGCTGTGTATGTGTCAATGTATAAAGGAATTTAACAGAGGTATTTTAACTGTGTTGTATTTTTACTAGTCTCTCATTCATTATGCTGGAGAAAGCATTTCTCAGTGTAAAAACAAACTAAATGAAGATGCCCAGGTCAACTCACTGAGGACTTTGATAATGCAGTGTACGAAATGTTTATGCAATTGTACCAAGGTAAATTTTATAAAGGAATTTATATTTCTTTCTTCATTAATAAGATCACAAAGTTGAATATCATACATATGGTACCTGAAAAAAATTAATTAACCTATTTGTACATATTGCTTTCTTACAGAACAGTGCTAGTAAAATGCTGTCTAACATATTCCTGCGTTTGTTAACATCAAAATTTATGAATGATCTCGTAGATATTTGCAAAAATCTGGTAAGTACGTTCTGTCTGTTTCTAAATGGAGTGCTCTTTTATGAGAGGATTGTTTTTACAGTATAATAATTTGGAGGCAAACCAAATGAGATACTTATAACTGGAAAAATAAATCAAATACATTGAGTTTTATTAAGAATTCCTAACTACAAATTTTTGTATCTAGCATTTGAACACAGGCATAGGGGAAAAATGAGGGCGGATGGATAACATTTGATCAAAGTTAACATGCCAGCTCACATTAAAAAACAAATTATGTTATTTTTGGAAATTAATAAAGTAAAATACAGATTTTTTGCCACAGAAATAATTTCTCTAATACATGACATTTAACTTTAATGCACTTGTAAAGTTTTAAAAACTTATTTTTATTTTGCAGTTTGATGGACTTATGTGCCATAAATCACTTTAAAGGTGTGTGCTCTATGGGTATTAAATCTTCTAACTGTAAAATGACTCTCTCACTGAGAAAAGTAGTAGGGTGGCACATCACTGTATTTAGCATAACTCTTTAAAACTTCTCTTTTGGCACATTGTCAGGTCTAGGTAGGCAAAATACCATTTTTTTTCAGGTGAGGAGAAGCTGAGAGTCTTATCTTCTATTAACTTGGCATCTGGTAGAGAAAGTAGTAATTACTGTGCCCTTAAAAAGATCATATGCCTTCCTTTAATTTCTCTGTAATTATGAAGTGTAGTGAGAAGCTTGTGAGTCTTGTAGAGGGAATTGTTTTTCAAATACTTAAGATGTCCTTGGCACCATCTAAAACACAGACTGGTATCTGTCTTAGGAAGCTTGTATCCTAAAGAGAAGAGTTAAAATCAAAAAATTCACAGTTGTACAAGACAGGTTTATCACAAAGGCTGAAATTCATCAATTCAGTGTAGCCCTTGTTGTCTTCACCTGTTCTAGTTCTCTGGGAAACTGTAGTGTCTTTCCTTGTGTTATGTCTCTAGTGTTTCTCCTGTCCTTAAAAGCCAACTTTAAAAGGATGTGGTGTTTTTGTCAGATGACATTTACTGGAAAACCTAGTGAACTGGGAGAAGTGGATCTAGTGAGGAATGATCCTGAGGAGAGTATAGTGGAAGTAGATAACCAGGTATCTGATGATCTATTTGATGATCATTCAGTGACTGACATCAGTGATACAAATGAATCTGTTGAGATGCAAAATGTAACAGGTAAGTCTTCCCTGTGTCTAAAGCTATTTGCAAAAGCTTGTTTTTACAGACTGCTTTTTGCTTGAAAGACAGTGAGATAAGAAATTTTGCTGCTTTATTAATAGTTGAAGCACGAAATGATTGAACCGGGTACTTTCTAAACAGTAGTAGTTCTTTTGTACCTCATTAGTGTTTTAAAGATGTTAATGAAGTGTATTCACTCATTTGGAAAGGAGAAATTTATTTTTATTTTATAGATAGTAAAATGTAAGCACAAAGGCTAGCTTACTTATTCCAAGTCAGGCAGAAGCCTTGTCTCTATCATTAGACTGTGCTTCATTTTCTTAAAAGTAGTCCTATTTAACTTTTTCCCAATCACTAATTCTTGACAAGGTCAGCTTTCTTATACCTCTGGACGTGCAGAGGGACAGGAGCATGAATCTGTTTGTTTAGTCCTGTTAGGAGCTACAAGTACTGATGTTTTTTTGTTTGTTTGTTTTAAATTCATTCTTAAAGTGGTCTGTATCTTAGTTTTTCATCAGGACTATGTTGTCTGTTTATTATTGAATGAGAAGGAAATCAGGGTGTTATATTAATGCCATAAACAGGAGCTGGTCTGTTTTCCCCATCATGTTGGATAAGTGTCTGTAGAAGTATCTTCTCCAACCATTCAATAAATAATTCTAATGAATGAAATTTGCAATTGCACAGAGTTAAAAGAGTTCTAAATGTGACAGAAAAATGTCATTTGTAACTATTTCATTTAGGTTATAATGGAAATTTCAGTTAGGATATTAACACTGTAGTAATTGTCCTCATTTCAATTTTGGGGAAGCTTTGAATCCGTAGTTTAAAATATATCCTAAGATATAGTTAACAGCACAAAAGAACACAGCTGCAGATGGTTCTGCAGAGTTCATTGTAACCTTGGTGGAGGAATCAGCCGTATGTATGGGCACATAAAATTAAAAGCCTCTGGTTTGGAGGGGGCCTTTGTAGAAGTGGGAAGCACACTCAAGAAGCTGTTACTGATACAGTAACTGCTCAATAACAAATAAAATTACAGATTGCTAGTACTCTGTCTATTCTGAGAACTTAAATTAGTTTTGTAAAGACCTAAAATGTTATCAACTTCTGTATTGTTCTTGGAGAAGCATTTCTTACATTAAAATCTTATTTTCAGGTGCTTTGAGCCCATTAGCTGAAGAACAGTTGACTAAGCAGGATTTACTTCTCCTTGAAATTCTGAGGTTCTTGTGTATTTGTGTAACTACAGTCCAAATTCAGACAGTGAGCTTCCGAGCCTCTGATATACGGAGGAAGCTGTTAATGCTTACTGATGGCAGTGTCTTTGATAGTGCTAAGCCACTGCATCTGCACATGGTGAGTGTGAGCTTTTTTTACAGCAGAGCCACCTCTGTATTTGTAGTGCTTTTAAATTTGTGTTGTTTTGTCAGTTGTGTATTATTGTCTTTCTCTTGTCATTCTCTCCCCTGAGAAGACATTAAAATGGCTACTTTTACTGTTTAGAAGTGTGCTGTGATTGGGGAAGGAGCAGTTAGAATTTGTAAGCCAAAATAAAGAGTTGGGAAGTAGAAACATTTTGTCTTCATCAATAATTATTTTTTAAATAGCTAGAAATTATCTCTGTAGTAGAACAGTGTCTGTGTTTTAGTTTACAAAGGAAGTATTCTTGACTGCCAAAATTAAAAATTTCATGAGCCATATTTCTGTGTGACAGTCTGCATGAAAAGATGGTCAGTCTAACATGTAAGAGCTGACAATAGGTATCCTTGCTGCATGATTTCATATAAGAGTTACTGAAAATGATTTATAGTTTTTCTTTTTGTCTACTTATTTTCTTAAGCATTATTTTCATTTTGATTCTTTTTTTTAATTATTTATTCCTCAGTACTTGGTCCTTTTGAAGGAGCTCCCTACTGAAGAACACCTCTTGCCTGAAGATGATGTTCTTATGCTTCTTAGGCCCCTTTCGTAAGAGAAAAATTATTCAGCATGTATTACAGCTATTCTAGTTCAACAGCTAGAGTATTTGGGGGCTGTTTACACTTTCAAGATGTTTTTTCATTCTTTCTTTCTTTCTTTCTTTCACAGTTCTGTGTGTTCTTTGTACCGTCGAGATCAAGAAGTTTGTAAAGTAATTCTAAATAATTTGCTTCCTACAGCAGTAGTGTTGGCCCAGTCCAACACACATGCTGAAGAGACAGGACATGCCCAAGGACAATTTTTGACAGTTGTTGGAGCCTTTTGGTATGTTTTACCTATTTAATGCAGAAGTCTGTTAGGCATAACATTTTTAACTTTTCTATCAGTGTGAAGACTGTAGTGCTGTTGTGTGTCTTGCTGTTGGTACCCTATGATACCTTTATTCAGCATTTAACTTTCCAGATTTTCTGTGTCATGTTATATTTGTGACAAAGAATCCTATCATCCGTAATATAGTATTAGAACAATAAACATTACGCTGTTGTATATTAACAAAGACTGATTGTACTCTGAATTGCATCAGTAGTTATAACAAGTGATAACTTCAACCAAAAATTAAGATTGTTTACAATTGTAGATTATCACTAAAAATGTAAAATCCTCCCAAAGGTGCCTGTTGAGCACAAAAGAATGAACTGTGAGCAGCAGAAACTAATTTGTTAGACTTTTTCTCAAAATTGTTGGAAACTTTTTCATTTATTCAAATCTTTCTTATTTTAGGCATTTAGCTCAAGGAGGGAAATGCACAGCACCGGTGAGAGTGGCCCTTTTAAACTGCATGAAAGCTCTGCTTGAGGTAATCCCAGATTTTCTGACATTCGTTAGCATGTTATGTATATACTTAAGATGTACTTAAAAACAGGATCTAAAGATCTTTTGCATACATCAGTGTATATTCCACTGTAGGTCTTCTGTATATTTAAAACCACAATATTAATTTTCTTCAGGCTGATCCTCATTGCAAGTGGGCGATCCTTAATGTGATAAATGAAGATTTACCTGTGAGTGATGCTTTCCCACATTTTCTCGCAGATAGTCACCATCAAGTTCGCATTCTTGCTGCAAAGTCAATTACCAGGTGATAATGTAGATCTTTTTTCTGTTTATAAGAATATAATTTCACTTAATTGGGTATTAATTCTGCTGCTGTACGGCTGCTCTTTTCAGTACTTCTGGGGTTTTAATCTTGATGGAATATAAAAGCCTACCAAGTTACTTTGGTTAAGGTGTTCCAACTTTGTCTACCTTCCAATTATACTGTGATGAGAGAGAGATAAACGATATATATAAAATCTAGATATGATGGCACTTGCACTAATTTTATTTTACAAAACTTGAAGAGGAAATAGTTGTTTGTCCTCTAGAAGTGGATTAGGTACATTGTGTGGCATAAAAGTTTTTTCAAAAGATCTTGTGTTTTGAATACCACATATAGTTCTTTCACCATACATCAAAAAGGATGTAATTGAACTGGAATAAGAGTAGAGGTGGGATGTTCAAAAGTATGAGACACTTTATGCACAGCTATTGGTTTCATTAACTCAAGCCCTTCCTCACAAAAAGTTGAATTGCAGGAGATGTAACTAGAAAATCTGGAGTGGAAGAAAGTGAGTATTGGCAGTCTTTTCTAGTTTAAAGACTAGGAGATATCAAATAAAGCTAACAGGTTCAAGATTCTAAGAAATTACGGTTTACTTCTTCATACGACATTCAGTTATCCTGAGTGTTATCCTGCTACCTTCAACTGTCTGGATGTTTACAGGGGTTCAAAAAGCAATAAATTCATAAAAGAGGAAATCATTGAAGGGTACTAAATACAGTCACCACTTCTGAATCATGATCTGCCTAGGTCACCTGTGGTCAAATGTTGTTTCAAGAAATTATGCCTACAAGGCAAGCACATGGTGATCTTTCTTAGATATATGCTGATAGTCACTTTGAAGTGGCTAGAGTAACATTTGCTCCAATCCACTGTGGTGGTCCCATTTTTGTTACAAAGAGCAAAGTGAGCTGGGACTTTATCTACAAAAAAGAAATTATTGGAGAAACTTTTTTTACATATACATCTGTTCAACAAATATATTCCCAAAGTACTTCGTGACTTCAGTTATCCATCATAATGGAACATTTAAAGTTTGGCTTCCTGCACTGGCAGAGATTGGGACTGTTACATGTTTTCAGGCTATTCTCTGCGATTTCACCCCAACACATATTTTTAGTGTTACTGATAATGTTTGAGGGAAAGGAAGGAAAGATTGCTGCACAAGAAAATAATGGTATTTAGGAAATCAGAATCTTGTTGTTTGATATGCACAATATGCAGTAATTTTGTAGATTAAATGTTATGCTAATAATTATTGTTCTGTTTTTGAAGTTTGTTTCAAGATGTGAAACAGAGAGATTCTTCTGGAATGTCAAAACCTCTTCCATTGAAGCTCCAGCAGAAGGCTTTTGAGAATGCATATCTCAAAGTTCAGGAAGGAATGAGAAATCTGGTACTAACATCTAGTCATTAGTATTGCCTAGTTTTCATCTTATGAATATGATAACTTAAAATGGTTGTGTTTTAGTTTTCTGAGAACATCAGGTCTTCTGGACTGCTGATAATCAGAGGTGGTGAAACAAGTTGGTAGTCAGGAAATTTCTTACACATCCAGTCAGTCACTGTTTTGCTCACATTAGAAGTTTGTAAACTTTTTCACTGTATGTTCCAGACTGCTATTCTGTATCATACTATTAGTGGTTGCATGTTTTCATGATGTAACACTTAAGAATCAAATTAAAATGGAGGTTCAGTATTCTGGACAACATATAAATAGTGAGTAAGAGGCAATGTAAATTCAATTTGTGTGTTTACATCGTATAAAACCAGATTTGTAAGTTTCAGTAAGATCATATTTCCAGTGGTATTAGAGCAGTGTTTTTCACAAAACCAAAATTTGCTTAAAACATTAAACTATTCAGAAGAAACTTCAAGTGAAGGAAAAGTTTTACATCAGTGCAGTGACTGGAAATGCAGTGTTGTATATTTACTGTGGAATTTCTGTAATGATTAATTTTTCTATTAATGTCTTTCACTTTTCCTCTCTCCTTTTTTTTTTTATTGTCACACTGTCACGTCATCTCTTTGTCACATTTTCTCTCTGTTCCCTTTGCCTGCTGTCTTGTAGCTTGGGCTTGCTGCTGAGGCCTCATATCTCTGTCGTCTCATTTCATCTCTCTGTACTGTCACCTCCATCTTTCCGTCATCTCATCTTATTTCTCTATTGCCTTGGCTCCCTCTTCTGTCACCTCAGCTTGCTGTTGTCTGTTAGCTTCTGCCCTTTCATTGCAGTTTCTTGTTACTTTTATTCATCACTTGTCAACACCACGCCTTAACAGGGACAAGAACTGCATTTGAATTACAAGGCAGTTCTTTCCTATGTGCAGCAGGGAGGAGCAAAAAGGAGAGTTGTCTTGTCAATGCCTCCATCATTTGTCTGTTAAGTGTGCTGCCTTTGTTTAGACTGCTGATACTATAACATGAACTGGAGTGTATGAGGTATCAGCATGTGTGCTGGCAAGCTGGAGGCAGTAATTGGTTGAGGAGTGGAGCAAACGGTTGGGGGAAGTAATTTTTCAGCAACCAAAGCAAGATTTTCAGCAGTATTTAAGTCAGTGCTCTTAATTTCAAGTTATTTATGCTCATTCATTAATTAGGCAATTGTTTTAACTGAATGTTTGTACAAGTTCTTCATTGTTTCCTGTTGAAGGTCAGGGATGATGCAAGTCCTGAAGATCTTTTGGACAAACAGTGTAATGGAAAAGCGGTTTTACTGATGCTTATAACCATGGTTCTGTGCTGCAGTCCAGTCTGTGAAAAGCAAGCTTTGTTTGCTATTTGCCAGTCTGTGAAAGAGAACGGATTAGAACCTCACCTTGTGAAAAAGGCAAGTATAATATCCCATTTTATAATTAGGATGTAAATTAGCATTAGGTTAAAATTGGAATGATACAAAATGCTTTTGTCAGCATTGAAAGTTGTTAAATTTTGTAGAAGTGTGACTAATGTGGGACTTAAGTATCTGAATGAATTTGTAATTATATTTAATGATCTACATAGAAAAAAGGACATCATAAAAGACAATTTTGATTGTAAACCTTGTATATTAAAAGCACAGATCTGAAATACAAATAGATTTTTATACATTGAAGATTGCAGATCTCATTTATAAAAATCTTTCTATGCAGTGGAAGTTAATCTTCCAGTGTGGAAAACATAAAGTAAATGCAAAGTGTTGGAAGATGGTATGTGTCTTGTGGACTTTTATTCTGAAGTTCACAAGGATGTACTGCAGCCTTCAACACCAGTCATTTCTTTAGTGCATGTGTTCTCTCCTTTTTATCCTTTCTTTCTATTCATCGCCTGTTGTTTTTACACACAGTCTCTATCCTGCAAAATGTGTACGGGCTGTCCTTTCTTTGCATACTACCTCATATGAAGTAGTGTAGTTCCTTGATTGCACTCTTTCAAGATATGGCAATACAAATAATTTAAAAATTGCTTTATGCTAAATAGGAGCTGAGTTATACAAATATTCATTAAAAGGTGGGGGTGACAACATGGAGGTGTAGTACTATCAGTTTGCCATGGTGTCATGTACTCTGCATGCTATTTCTGCAATCTTATTTCATGCACAGGTTTTGAAAAAAGTGTCTGACATTTTCGGCTATAAAAGTATAGAAGACTTTATGACGTCACATTTAGACTATTTGGTGATGGAGTGGCTGAAAATAAGCGACAGTGGATATAGCCTGTCTGCTTTTCCTTATGTTCTTCTGAACTATACTAACCTTGAGGAATTCTACATGTAAGTTTACTATATGAAAGCAATTTATTTAGATTTATTTGCAATTATGACCGAGGGTTTCAAATTTTTAAATGTAGTAATGCATCAGGATTTTGCTGTAAGATAACGTATTGAGAGCTTTTAAAATGCATTGCAAGTATCTTGTATATTTATGCTGGTAAGATTTTTTTGGATAGCAGTAGCTAAACAATAATTACAAGTTTAGTTATACAGTAGAGGAATAGTATTTGCTATATTATGCTTGAGATTTTTTAAAAAATCCAATTCAAGGACATTGTGAAAATATATTTACTATGCATAGGTCTTGTTATAAAGTTTTGGTTCCACACCTGGTGATTAGAAGTCAATTCGAAGATGTGAAATCACTTGCCAACAAGATTGAAAAAGACTGGAGGCAGGTTCTAGCAGACTGTTTTCCAAAGATACTTGTGAATATCCTCCCGTATTTTGCCTGTCAAAACCATGGAAAGGATGAAGTGGCAGACCAAAGAGATACTGCTTCTAAAGTCTATGACATGCTTAAGGATGAAAACTGCTTAGGAAAACAGGTATCTTTTTTTAATGTATAAATTGAGTTCTGTGGCATTTTAACAGACCTGAAAGAAACTTTCATATATTCTGTAAAAATTTAAATAGATCAAGTTTATAGATACAAAATTACTGTTTTAATAAAGCCAAACTAGCCAAATTTTTATCCCAAGGTTTTCAAGTAGCTATTCAATGGAAACTTTCAGGGAGACAGCTGACTTTATAGTTTTTTTCAGAATGTAATAATTTTTTTTTTTACCATTCATTATACAATCCTGAGTTTCCCTGTCATGTACCTGTTTAAGTAAATCATGTTTTCCTCTTAAAATATTTTGTTAATGCTTTATGAGGACCTACCTTCTCTAGAGGTAGAATCTATATTCAGAACTAGTAGTAAAATGATGCTTTTTGTTTTTCCAGATACCATAGGAATGCAAATTGTTCTACCTGTGACTGCCATAGTTAAGATTTAACCAGGCTTAATTTCTGAATGAATTGTATGTCATGGATAGTTGAACAAATAAAGAATCCAGACAGGAAAAAATGGGTTTTCTCAGAAGGAGAGGAAATGTTAGATTATTCTAGCTAAAATATTTTTTTCTTATTCAAACACAATTTTTCTTCTTCTAGCAAATTGACAGTTTATCTCATAATAACTTACCAGAGATTGTGGTTGAACTGTTGATGACCTTACATGAACCACGTGATACTATGCTGGAAGATGGAGCTCATCTAGGTAAATATATAAGGTAAATATAGATTTTCTAAATGATGAGTGTGTTTGTATAACACTGTGCATTAAAACGTGGCCTTCAGGCATAAGAAGTGGCCTTTAAGTTTAGAATTACAGGATTTTATTGTCATTAATAGTGATGCCTCACAGGCATGCTTTCTCACATGGTTATTCCCTGGTATCAGTAAGAACAACCTCTCTAATACTTCAGTTGATGGAAAGAATGAATGGGTCGGCAAGAAGATGCTGTTGTATGCTGATGAGCTGAGCTATGGCAATGCCAATTTAGATTAGTTTAAATTTGGATGGGGTGCCCTCTCTGGGAAGGTTTTAAAATCTAAATTAAGGTGATTCTTTCTAAGGTCTTTAAATATTTAGAAGTCACTGAGAAGTGAAGTGAACCATTTCTTAACAAGTTCTTGTAGTGGCAGCTCTTGCCTTTGGTAAGGAGATTGCTTACATAATGCCAAATGAACAAATTCCTAATTAATAGAAATACTCTAATTCTATAAATATATTTATTTTGATGAGCTTTTCAGTCTTTGTTGTTGTCGTAAAAATATCACTATTTGCATAATTATATCTGGAAATACTTCTCCAGATTTTTGTGTTTAGATACAAACTATTTGGAAAAACATCATATTTTCTGAAAGTACTGAAGAAGATATTTTTATTGTATAAATATAAAGCTGAAAGAAACCAAAGCATTTCTATGAAAATCTGCCAAAAGTGAAATGGCTGAGTATTTCAGAATTTTATAAAAGAAATTTTTTTCAGTGAATTTATTAATGGTCTGTGGTGTCTGCTTGTAACCAAAATTTTTATTTCTAAGGAGGGAATGGTAAGAATAAGATTGTTGAAACTTAGAATTTGCTGTTTTGTTACTATCGTGATGCATTTCTTTTCTTTTTGAGGTCCCAGAAGTTGACTACCCTTTTTTTAATAACAGGGAGTTTCATTATTACTTTTTTCTCAACAAAATTGCTCCCATAATTACAAAGTGCAGAAGCTTTATCCATGACTTGCAATTAGATTTTCCTACGAAGTACATTAGATGAGAAAAATGTGTGGAATTTTAGCAATATGATCTTTCAAAAATAATAAAAGAACGTTAAGTACAACTTAGAAAGCTGCCATAGAGGGACAACGGACAGCTAAATATAAAATGTATGTCACTCTGCTGGATGCTTTTGGTGATTCTTACTTACTGAAAGCAGAAAAGATTTCCTAGAAGTTACATGTTTATTCAGTGAGATGTATTTTATTTAATACATGGGGTTTGATTTTTGTGGAAAAAAAAAAATCTCTCTTATTTATTTAGGGAACTGGATCCTGCTCCTAATCCTCCTCATTTTCCATCTTATGTCATTAAGGCAACCTTGGACTATATTAGCAACTGTCATAAAAGCAAATTAAAAAGTCTTGTAGCAGTTCTTTCTAAAAGCCCTGTAAGTATGTAATGAGGATTCGCTGTTTCTGTAGAATATAAAGTTTCTTTTATGGGTACGTTTTAGTTTAATTAGACATTTTCATCAAGTATACGTGGGGGGAAAAATACAGCCTTAGAAACCTTTCTGTTCTTTGTTTACCTTCTGAGATAGAAGTCCTAAGTTCAGGGACACAGTAACCTTACAAAAATTACAGGCTTGAACTATTACATGCATTATAGAATACATATAAAATAATGTATAATTAGAGAGGATTATTTTAAAGGTTGGGGAAATCTGTGTGTACCAGACACAATTTAGATGCAATTTATCTTGTTGGCGTGTTTCTGAAGAACATTCTGAAGTAATTACATTTGGACAATTTTATCTAAATACTGTCTACAATTAAGATATTAAAGTTAGCTTAACTTACTGACAGTGTGAAATATTATAGTCTGTGATATTTTTAGACATTTGATTTTCAGTTAAAGGCAAATACAAAGGCATATAAAATCATGCAGCGCTTGCAATAAATCATAAACACGTAACTCCTTAGAAACTTATCTTTTCAAAATTTATGCTATTTTATTTCATATGTTGTCAACAACTTACTTTGCCTATCCATAAACAATCTAAAAATAAGAAATAAACTTTTTATGGACCGTCTTTGAGTGTAAAAGTTAATAATGCCAGCCAGTGGGATAAATTCTTTAAAATGTAATACAACCTGCCCACTACATTAGGATAGGTACCTTATTTCATAGGGTACAGATTATAGACAGCTAAGACTATGAACTTTAAGGTATTTTGTACGTATGAACATTCTGTTTGAAAGAATATAGGTTGAAGCACTACCCAGTGTTTTAATGGCTTTTATTTGATGTCTCTCCTGTTGGTGAAAACTGCCATAACTGGTTTTCTGAAAAATATATATAGCCTTTCGGGGGGGGGGGGGGGGGGGGGGGGGGGGGGCGGGGCAGGGAAGAAAACTGGGAGGAATGGGGCTTGTAGTCCTGCTTGGTTTCTGTGTAGGTGTTCTGTTTCTTTACAGCAGTGAAAATAGTAACGCCTTTCTGTCCATGTTCTTTAAAAAAAAATATAATTTCTGTTGCTTAAGTTTTTTCTTGTTATAAAGTATATCAGTATTGGCATTATGAATTATTTTTTTACTTACAGTTTATTCATTTTTAGGATTCATTCCAGAAAATCCTTCTAGCCCTTTGTAAGCATGCGTCAGATACAAACAACATTTATAAGAAACACAGAGTTCTTATAATTTATCACTTGTTTGTTAGTCTGTTACTTAAAGAGATAAAAGATGGTTTAGGAGGAGCATGGGCTTTTGTCCTCCGAGATGTAATTTACACCCTGATTCACCACATCAATAGCAGGTAAATATGGTAATTATATATTGTTCTTCCTCTCTGTGCTCCCTTGTTCTTGTAACATAACATTTCAGTATTGCTAGTAGATGTTAATTCATTTATAGAAATATAAATTTGTCCAGCCAGGAGATGAGAGATAATGACAAACTGGGATGGGTTGAGTGAAAGACCCCCAAGGTGGTAAGTGGAGTTGATCTAATTTTTGTTCTCCAGTTTCTGGAAAGGAAGATGCATTGTAGAGAAGATAAAGTCAGATTTTTCCTATAAGTGCACAGTGCAAGGACAAGAGGTAGCACCCACCAAGTTGAAATATGGGAAATTCTAGTTAGACATAAGGGAAAAGATTTTCACAGTGAGAGTAGTCAAATACGGGAGCAGGTTGCTCAGAGAGGCTATTGATTTTCCATCCAAGAAAAGTGTCAGAATTCAGCTCAACAAAACCCTGAAAACCTCATCTGACTTTGAAGCTGACCCTGCCTCAGACAGAACGCTGGATTAGATAATCCCCAGGTGTCCTCTGTAACCTAAATCTTTTTTTTTCCTCTTTTTTTTTTTTTCTTTTTTTTTTAAATTAATGTGAGTGAGAGGAGGGTGCAGGAGCACATTTTCCACTTCAGTCTGTTTCTGGCAAAAAATAATCTAAAAGCCTTCTTGGGGTGGGTTTTCTTTTTTTTTTTTTTTTTTCCCTTTTCTTTTTTGGAATATATTTTTCTCTAAGTTTTTTACTCCATTTTTTAAAGTGATCAGTTAAATTCTGTGTGTTTTAATTCTCCTGTGTCTCCTGAGCTAAATCCTTAGAGCTGATTGAGTTGATAAATTTTGAAGTTTAGAATCAGTTCCTCCTATACAGTTTATTTATATTTCCCGTTTTCCCCTATTCTTTCCTGTTGTATATTCAGTTAATACTTGAGACAATGGCAGTTTGTATTTCTATAATGTTACGTTTTTGTTTCCTGTGGCAGACCTGTTGTTATCAGAGAAATATCCATGCGCAGCTTTTCACTCTGTTGTGATCTTCTTCATCATGTTTGCCACACAGCAGTTACATGTTGCAAGGATGCTCTAGAGAGCCACCTTCATGTTATTGTAGGAACCCTCATACCTCTTGCCATGGACCAGCCTGAGATTCAGGAACAGGTAATTTAGAGTTGCTGCTTATTCCTTATCTGTTAGCCTTTTAGTTCATGCTCACTCTCACTAAAGCTATATACTCATGTTCAATTTTAATTCATTTTTTCTATGCTTTGTAGATTTATATAACAAATCTTACTTGGAATGCAACACTATCCCTTTAATTTTCTAAGTAAAAGTGTCTTTACTGCTGGTACTTCTGTTTTGACAGATACTGTGTTCAGCATCTAGTTCTGGCTTTAAACAGTGATTGAGATGTATTTGTATCATAGTTGCTGAGATTACTGTATCACTTACTTTCTAATTCTCTATTTAGTTGGTCTATAAGAAATCAAATTTCTTAAAGAGCTTTAATGCTGTTGTAATGTATTTTGTGTCTGCTTTGAATCTGTATGCCTTTTTCAGCCAAATCTGAAAGAAGTTTAAAACTTTTAGGGTAAGTTTCAGAAAAATTTTTGCCTTAATTGTGTAGACACACCAAATCAGTGGTACCACTATGGAAAAGGTAGAGAGAATGTAGGCATTACGGAACTACCAGTGATGGCAAGCTAATCAGTACGAGCACATCAAGTAGCCAAGCAGTTACCTACAAAGCTCTGTGGATGGTTTCACATGGAAGTACGATGAAGACCTTTGGAAGGGGAAGGTGTCTAAAGGACAAAGAGGAAATATGTGCAAAGAACAGATTTTAGTAGTTCAGCTATTTATTTCACAAATTATCATTAAAAATAAATGTAGCACATAGGCCTTAAAAGGGAAATGAAGCAGTTTCTGTTGCGTGACAAGCCTTGTTTTCCTTCTGGTGATGGTATGTGTGTACATTCTGCTGGGGGTGGAAATATACTTAGATTCAGAGACTTATAATTAGTAGCTGAAGGTGAGAGAGTATGCCTGTTGCATTTCAGTCATCATGGCTGTCTGCTGGCTTAGTCTGATCCCACGTATCACATGCACCTCCGTGGTTGCAGTGTAGCCCTATATCGTCCTCCTCGTCATGCTTCAGTTCCGCTGGAGGGCTGTACTGATCCAGCTGAAAATAGCTTGGCAGTTTGTTTCAGGATCAGATTTATAATATGTCTATGCAAACAGTTCTATATGCACAGCTGAAAAGGCAACATGTCAGGGCATCCCTGGGCAGAAACAGAGTGGTGAGGCCAGAAATTTCTCTCAGTTGGAACTGATACCAAATACGAAACCTTCTGATACCATACTCCTGCAGGGAAATCCATCCTCTAGTAATCAGTTTTCAGTTTCTTCTCTTTATTTTTCTTCTAGAATTGAATGGAATCTAGTTAATCATTTTTAAGTAAATAAAAGCCTCCAAATAAAGACCTCATAATTTAGACTGTAGATTCCTCAAAGCTGCCTGGGTTGAATATCCAGTTGCATTGGTTTGTAAGTAAAGCATAAAAGCAGCGTTTTTGCAAAGACAGTATGGTACCGCTTCAGCAAGCATTTATTCGAGTTGTAGATCTGTTATAAACCAAATTCTGTCAGAGTTCAGTGATTTGGGCAGTAAATTATGATATTTAGGCATTTCTCTGGATTTCAAATTACCGGCACATTAGTTAGTAAGAATAATAAAGTCCTAATAACATCAGAAGGACTGCTTGGGTGCAGTGTTGGTAAATCATTGCCAATATTGTAATGATTGTATTGACCAGTATTTCAAGTCAGCTTCATCAAAAAACAGGATAAAACTGCAGGCTGTGATAATAAAAGCTTTGATGACTGACAGGGGGAGTAACAAAAACACCTCACCATTTTAGAATATATCTGTGATTTCCCCAAGCCTCTAAACATTTTATAATTTTTAACAGTGTAAATAAATTCTCTTATAGCGTTCTCAGTTTAATAGAACTTGGAGAAATACAAACTTTGTAACCTCAATAAGAACTATGGCTCAAAAATGTTTCTCTGTCTTTTTTGTTTTTCATTTACTTTTTATGTTCAGGTCCTAGGCTTGTTGAAGTATCTGGTGATAGATAATAAGAATAGTGAAAATCTCTACCAAGCAATCAAATGCTTAGATCCTTTTCCTGAATATCCTGCTTTTAAAGATTTGCGAGCAACTCAACAGGAAATAAAATACAGTAAAGGACCATATGCTCTTTTGGAGGTAATTACATTTTAAAATATATCTCATGGCATAGTGTTTTTTGTAATGCAAACTTTCAAAAAACTCCCAGTTTTCTAGCTACAGGTATAGTTGAGAACAATTTAAATTAAGCATGTGGATTCTTTTTATTACCAGTTTCAGACACTAAGATACTTGTAGGTCTTCATTCATATTTTGCATCTATTAATATCCACGTTGTGGACTGCTGAGAGCCACTTCTTTACTGGAAGCCTTTATTTGTATGCTGTATGTGCTTAATATGAAACGTTGTTTTTCAGGAAATTAATCACTTTCTCTCAGTTGGTGTTTGTGATTCACTGCCCTTAACACGACTTGAAGGACTGTATTATTTACGCAAACAGTTGGAACAATATAAAGACCAGATGAAAGATCTGCTGAAAAATTTCCAGGGTAATGACATCTGATTGTGTACTTACTTCTTTTTTTATCTGGTTTTGTGTGTGTAGCAATGTAACCCTATTCTAATTTGATACTGAATGTTTTATTTTGTGTCTTGGGTTTTGTATGTTTAACAATGTAACCTTATTACAGTTTCACATGCAGAGTAGAATGGCCTTTATTATTCATGCAAAATCTGAAGTATTTTTAGCAGAGTGTATTATGAATATAATATGAGGTGTTATACAGCAGAGAGGCTAAAATGCCCTTCCAGCTTTTGGCATAGGGCATTTATTATTGTGAATGACTAGGATAACATATAATGTGTGTATATTGCTTTATGGCTGCTTAATGAGTGGTCTTGTATATGAATCGCCCTACTCATGTAATGAAGCTAGATTTTATTAAAGGCATAGTATGTTAGAAAGTAAAGCTCACAGAAGTTTTAAAATGTTAGGATTTAGTTTAGTTGAATCTTGCTACATCCCAAGATTTTGTTTCAACCCTCAGTCCAGACCCAGTCCTTTCCTATTTTGGTTTTCAGATGCTCATGCTAGACCATTTCACTTTTCTCCTGTACATCAGGTCTTCATCAGGAAGATAAAAAGACCTGATGTAATTAATTTTAAATAGGTACAAAGTAAAATTTGGAGAAGAATAGTAGTCTGTCATAAGGCCATAGTGTAAGTGCATTTTGTCCCCACGTCTTGAATATCATTTACAGTCTTAGTCTCAAAATTATACTTGAAAAGAGAGTTAGTAAAAGGGCAACAAGCTAATGTCTCCATCGGAGAACAGCTTTGTGAGCTTGGAAAAGAGACTGAGTAGGAACAGAGAGGTGTATGAACTGGTGAATGGTGTGATGAAGCTGAGTAGGGAGCACTTACCACTTTCGTCATAGTGCAAAAACAGATTAAATTATCTGGCAGCAGTTATACAGGAGAAACCACATACTTTTTCATACAAAATATATACAGCATGGAATTTACTGCCACTTATTGTGGAGATCAGGAGCATAATGGACCTTAAAAGGAGTTAGACATATCTGTCAGAGATAATTAGGTATGAAGGTCTGCTCAGAAATCCCCAATCTGCTGACTGGCAAAACCTGAGAAGAAGTACTTAAGTCTTGCTCTGTTGGAGATGGGCCAGCAGGCTTGATGGGCCTGTTGCCTTCGTTTTGCCTTATACTAAAAGTTTGAGACACTTAGAAATAACTTTCTCATTAGTGTTAAAAAGAAGTAAGAAAACAGTTACTGATAAAAGATACAAAACTGTATGTTGAAAAATAACATTTCAGAAATAACTACTGCAGTTCAGCCACATGTGTATTAATTTCTGTAAAAATGTCAACAAGCATAAAGCCCAATTCCAAGTTTCCATTCCAATCAACAGGGTAGCAGAGCATTTTTTAAAGAAAATGCCACTTTTTTTTTTTTTTTTACATTGGCAAATCGTCATATTTTTTTCCTAGACCTTGTTCCTGGAAACAGCAAAACTTTTTCTTTTTAGTGTTTGTTTTAAAAAATACCTCAGGCAGGCAGCAAATATGTAAGGAAATATCCATCTCGAGAGTTTATAATTTGACAAAGTTAATTAGGCAACTGAAAGCTAGTCAAATTCTTTGAAATTCCTGGTAGAAACCTTATTTTGGGATGTTCATTGGATTCAGATTTAGAACAGAATGCTGATATTAGCTTAAGTGCTATCAGTGGAGTCACATAGTATGACTTCACTGTTTCAAATAACACTCTCACACTAACTTATGCTAATATTTTGTGTATTTAATTATAATTTCAACATCAAAACACTGAAAATAATAGCATTTGTGTATTCTAGTTTTGGGGATTCTTTGCTATAGTCAAATGCATAGAAATTTTTTCATGACAAGATTCATAAGAAAAATTAATGTTTTTTTTAAGGTACCGTTTAATACCAACTTGCTTCAACATTAATAATGCATGTTGACATTTGTAGGTAACATATACTAAAGCAGTGTTTTCTTCTAATGTTCACATTACAAATACACGATGACATTTTGGGGGTTTATTTTTTTTTCTGAATTATAGAAAAGCCAGAAGATTCTGTAGTAGTGAAATTGGTGGTGAGCTTACTGCAGCTGTCCAAGATGGCAGTTAACCATACAGGTGAAAAAGCAGTGCTGGGTAAGTTAAACAGTCCCACAGGCATCTTAGGGCTGTCACTGCAAAGCCCTGGTCGAAACTGTGTCCGTTCTCTGCGTTACTTCCCAGTGCTATTTCGGATTTGCTGCCAGAGGTAGCCATCAGGAATGTTAAAATGGGTGAATTCCCTCTTCCCTGAGTGGAGAGTACCTCCATGAAGGTGATGATTACTGAAATTGGATGTCCAAACTAGACAGAAACACTAGTAATGAAAACATTTGCCTTAATATACTTTTTGTCTAAAAGGCTAATAACTGATAAATAAAAATGCTGAGCAACTGATGCTCACATTGACTTCAGTGTGATGTTCTTCAGCACCTCTGGAAGCTGTAAGTTTCAGCCTTGTCTTTCCTTACATGATTTGTTAAATTTAGTTCAAAATGTAACCTGTGTATCTTCAACCTATTCTTTTTTTGCTCTGGTGGTTATTAGAGGAAATGGGAACGTATTTAAGACACATGCTGATATGAAGGAAAGAGCAGGGAAATAGTTTTTTCTTTCTGATTAACATCCCTTTTTTAAATCTAATTTCAAGGTGAATTTTGTATTATTTTTTCTTGTATGTGGTCATGTGTTTTTGTAAACTATTTTGTCTGGAAAGCAATTGAGGAACACATTGATACATCATTTTCTGTAAAATGTAGGTTAATTCTTACTGTATTTCCAGGCTACTGTTTGTATTTATCATACCCTCAGGGAATGAAAATTAGTGTCTCTTAGTGTCTGTCATTCTGACCTTGAGCATTTGCTTGTTTCTGACACAAGCAAAAATAAAATCTATATCTGATTTAAACTGCAAAATCCAGAGCCACAGGCACTCCTAGAAAGTTGAGTTAGAAAGTGTAACTGTGTTATTTATGAGTCTTAAACTGCAAAATTTGTATACATGTAGTTTTAATCATAAAGCTTCTCTAGTGATTATTTATAAATGTTTGCAGCTTTTTACCCCATAATGAACTCAGTTCTAGAAGTAGTTTATATTAATTGCAACTGTTTAGTATGAGACCTTGTTTTGGTGTGCATAAGACTACAAAGTTATCTGTATTTGTAGAGGCTGTTGGAAGTTGCTTGGGAGAAATTGGTCCCATGGATTTCTCCACCATAGCTCTTCAGCGTGCTGAAAATGCACTGGATTCTAAAGCAGTGGACTTACTTGAAGATAGAAAACTTCAATGGGTCTTCATAATGTTAACTCAAATAAATACTGCTTTAACAGATAATTGGTGAGTATACTTATTTATTTAATTTATTCAGTTCAAAGCTTAATAAGAGCCATTAAGTTTTATGTTGTTCAAATCACCCCAGAGCAACACTCTGAAGGTATTACTAACACCTGTTAATGTCCAACCATGTGGTTCTTCAAGGCTCAGATTACTTATCCAGTCAAGCTTAGATGATTGCTAGAAATTCTCTAGTTGGACTCTAGCCAGAGGGGATCTTCTGTGCTGTAGAGGGTAGCAGTGCTGTGGAGTAAATACTGAGGCTTTGCTATATAACAAAATACGCAGTGGCATATCCTAGTCCAAAATGTTCTGATTTGATGCATACGTTGTTAGATTGTAGAATTATTTGCCTTGTATGTTTATAAAGGTGATTTTGAAAATATTTGAATGAAATTAATAATAATGCTGTTGTGTATGTTATTCTTTCAGTATTGATGTTAGAGCTGCTGCTGTTTCCTGTTTGAAAAACATATTAGCTACCAAGTCTGGCAGTGAATTTTGGGAAGTTTATAAAAATAAAGCTGATCCCATGTTAATCTATCTACAGCCTTTTCGAATGTCTAGGAAAAAGGTACTTCTTCTAATATACCTTATTTATGTGGCATATGAGGTAGAGAAAACATTAAAAAGTATGTTTTTAAAAGAGTAAATTTTAAAATATTTTTGAGATAGGCTTTGTTGAATGCAAAATTTGGACTTTACATCAGTCTGATAGCAAATCTGATTGCTTTTATACATGTTTCTCCTTTCTGTTTCAGCGTTTGCAGCTTCTTCACGTAGGAAATTACCAATTTGACATTAGAAAGCTGTGTACTTCCATTATTAAACACTTTTTGATTACTTACTTGGTAATCGAATACATTCTTTCTCAGGATTCCAGTATCATTTGGGGCAAAATCTTAGTGGAAAATAGGTCGGAAAAAAAGGTCCATAATTAACCATAAGTCAGATACTTCCTAATTTTCAGACTTTTGATTTGTAAACTAAAAGCGATGTCTAACATGCCCTTGTTGATGTTACCAGTAGGATTTTATTTTCAGTCCTTTCACTTTCCTTGGAAGACTTTACATTTACATAAACAAAATTGATATTGTCAATCAATTAAAGCATAGTTAATATTTAATATGTTTTATTCTGTGCAGATTGCAGAATGCTGTAGAATTTGTTTATATTTGCAATATATGTATTTTCCTTCTAGTTTTTTGTAGTACCTGCTAATGATACAGAGGCTCCTTTAGAAACTTTGGATGACACAAACCTGTGGATTCCTCTGGGAGAAAGTCATGAGACCTGGATCAAGCGCTTAACTAGTTCAATACTGGACACTGGAGGTGTGCAAAATGAAGTTCTCCAGTTAATGAAGCCGCTATGTGAGGTGAGCTAAATTATCTGTATATATGTATAGGTATATGCACTGTGATGTAAAAAAAAAATACGATTACTCATCTTGATAGCAAATAGGAATTTCTGCTATTAAGTTACTACTTTTTTTAACAGTAGTTCAGATCCTTCATAGTCAGATACTGTGGATACCGATAAAACACAGTCTTGAAATACAAGATTTGAGAGATAATTGTAAACATAGATAAACTTAATATGACTACTTTAACTGAATGCCAGCATAGCCTTATTAGTGATTTACGTTTTTCATATTACATGTTCTTTCTCAAGCATTACATGTTTGAGTAGTTGTCAGTTTGGTTAAAACCTGAAAAAGGCTTTTGGTTGTTTTTCTTAGCAGCTGCTGTGCATCATTGTTTTCTAGGTGAAAACAGATTTGTGTCAAACTTTGCTTCCATACCTGATTCATGATATCCTTCTTCATGACTCAGATGAATCTTGGAGAAATCTTTTGTCGGTTCATATCCAGAAGTTTTTTACAGCCTGTTGCAGATTTGTCTCATCTAGTAGAACTTCTACACCTCCAAATTCTGATTCAGGTAATGTCATAACATTTTTGTTTCAGCTGAAAGAGGGATTCCGGTTTTGAAAAAATTATCTTCTGACAATCAAACATATGATATGCACTTGTAGGCAGACAGAATTTTAGAAGCTTCTGTCCAATTGTTTGATCTTTTTCAGTGGAGATACCAGTAATTTGGGCAGCACCCAAGTAGTTTCTCCTGTAGAACTTCTTTCCTTAATCATAACTGCATAATTTTTATTACTTGCTGAATTTAAATGTGATCCAATGTTGTGGGTACAAGACTGATTCTTGGACTGTCTCTTAAAATGACTAATTGGCAGTTAAATTCCTCTCTTACTCAAACAAGAGCAATTAAACGCCGTTTTCACCTGGATTTTTCCCTTGGAAAAAAGACTAACCCTTGCTTTAGCTTCTGCCTAATGTTGATAATGGTCTCCCTATACATTCAAAAGACCTGATCCATTCCAGCAGAATGAAAAGAAGTTGTAATCAAAAGAACCACAACTGAGTATGAATAATGCAGTAAGTTCTATTAGAAACAAAGCAGCTTCTAAACAAGCTGGCTGGTGTCCTTTCCAAATAGATTGTGGTTGAAGTTAGCAAAAATCTGTGTCAAAAATAAGATCTTTGTTATTAGACAATGGGAATGGTACATTCACTTACTTACAGGAGCTGAAATAATTTATTTTTGCACGTCCCTTACTTAACACAGGTACACTAACTTCAGGTTAATATATTTTTGGTGCAGTAGCTACTCTGCTGTATCTTCCAACCTCTTTCTTCAGTGACAAATCACCAAAGGAATGAGTCAACACAATGTCTTGCAGTCTCTTTACAAGCAAGTCATGCAAGCTTTAGGTTGCCAGGGAGGAAAAGGAAAATGTAGTATTGCAGTTTGTACTAAGAGTGGTGTAAATAAGCCTAATAATGCTAGGTGTATTTTAAAGTACTTTTTATAGATGCTGTCTAGCCTGACCAGAAAGACTAGAGCAATATCCTTTCATGTTTTTGAAGTCAGGTAATAAGCTTTTTCCACAATCCAGGTATTTTTATTACTGTCCCACTTTGTAAGATAGAAAAGGGTTAACGATTTCCTGTTTCCTTTCTGTGAGCAGCCAGGAAAGCTACTGCATAGATTTATGCTCACATGCAAGAAAGTCGAATGCTTCTGAACAAGAATCTTCCTGTTGATCCATTTTGACATGCAAGTTCTAGGAATTGGCTGCTAATCTTGACAATTTAAAGCATAAATAGTGTGAACATCATGCCAATCACAACTCTGCCTGAGAAACCAAACCTAATCATAAGCTCCTTGACAAAAGTCAGACACCATGCTCAAAATGAAGAATACTGTGGACTCAGTGCATGTCAGTCTGGCCAGAATCCTATATTAGTTCAGAAGAGATTTAATTTTTTGTTGAATCCGTCGAAATACATGTTTAGTTATTTCTCTTTAGGATTTAGACTTTCTATGTGATGTCATGATAAAAACAGACACCATTTTTGTTTTCTGTCTGTAAGCTTCTTGTTAGCTAATGAGTATGAACAGCATGCTGACAGCTTATAGTTACCATTATAGTCATTTGGTCTGTTGCTCAATAAATCCTGAAGAATAACTTTTTTCTTCCAGTTTTCTTGGCCAGTGCCTTTTCCTTCCCCATTGACTCATTAATACTGCCTGGTACCCAAATATAATTAATTCAGAAATTTTCTGTTATTTATCTAATCAAATTATGAAGGAGGAAGTAGTAATGTTGGAGTGTTGACTGAACAGTGCTCACAGAATGGACCCTGCCTGTGAGACGCTGTGTCTACATTTGGAAGTAGTGCAGCACATGGGGATGGATCTGGAGAGCAAAATGTCATGGTGGCTTAGAAACTGAGAGTCAGATGTCTCCACTATATTTCTTCAGAAAGTTAAGGATGTGGGAGATGACTTATAATGGAGTTGGTGTTCCTTCTATAAGGTCTTTGGTAGCAGTGGAAAGTAAGCATTGTTGATTTCTGTTTGTTGGAACACATGAAATGCCCAGATACTTGGTTTTTTATGTGGCTTTTGCTTTCTTTAGGGTAAATTTCTAGTTCTGCATCTTGCTGTAGTGTAGTAGTAACCAAACCTTTGCTTATGGTTTCCCTATTTCTTGCTTCTTGTAATTTATAAATTTAAAATGTGCAGAAAAATGAAAAAATTATTAACGCAATGACCAGAATAAAATCTGTAGCGATCTGATTTTTTTTGATTCTGAAAGCAAGGCATGGACATATAAATTCTTTAAAAGTATGTATCTGTGTGTGGGAGATGGTGTTTTTTGTATAAGCATACACAGTCCATAAAATCTACAATAAAGCTACTAGTAAGTATTTCTGTGGCTTTGGAATAACTTTATATGGCTCAAGCCTAAGGGAAGAGGTCTGTTGTGGATCTTTGTGCAATGATGTTAGATTGTCTTTGAAGTCTACAAGAAGAAATATAATCTAAAAATGATTAATTCAAAGACAATTTGATAAAGAAAATTGCAGTATAAACTACTGTAATATCACTAACATCATATAAAGAGGGGAAATACATTTTTGTGTCAAACTATTAATTTAATTTTGGAAATGCCACTCAAGGAAGTTTTTAGTTATTTTCTTGAGTACAAAATACACCTTTTTATTTTGTAAATGGATATGTTATGACAAAAGTTCATTATATTCTTTCTTTTGAAATATATATCCCAGAGCAAGAAACCCATAATTTTAGAAGTTTGGATAAAGTATCTCGACGAGCCATGCTTGCTGTTGTTGATTACCTAAGAAGACAAAAGAGGTGAATTACAGCATTCCAGAATGTTGCTTTATTTTAATTATGACTGTTCTAAGATCCACTGATGGTCTAGATTAAGGAAGAAAGGTGTGCTAGAGAACATATCAGTTAAAAAATTAAGATATAGTAGTGACCTTGTATTTGTTACAGAAGTGATATGGTTAGCTTTAAAAGGTTCTAACTATGCTGAAGGAGTTATCTAAAAACTTTGTTTGATAAACTTTTTGTGATATGGATTTGTGGGGCAGCTAATATGAAATTAGCCTTAGGAAGGCTTTATAGTTAGATTGGATTTATTTTGTTTGATGTTAGAGGGGTCTGTTACAGCAATATTAAAATATTTATTTAATCAGATCTGTTTCAGGTACAGTTTTTGATGACAGCTTCTGGCTGGATCTGAATTATCTTGAGGTTGCTATAGCAGCACAGTCTTGTGCTGCTCACTTCACAGCCTTGCTCTATGCAGAAATCTACGCAGACAAGACAAATATAGACAAACAGCAAGAAAGGTATAAAGGCTTGAGGAACGCAGTTTCTTGACATTTTGGGTAAAATGGATCTTGTTTTGTGTTTCCCAATATTGTTTAATTATGTGAAAAGTCAAGGAAAGTAAAAAAATTCCTTAGCTGTGTGTATTGACCTGGTAAATATTTTCAGGTCCTTGAAAGTGATCCCAACCTTGCTAGTTTTCTAGCTGCGACACACTCAAAATAGTGTCATTTTGACTTCTAACCAAGAAGTTTTCTTAGTAGTGTGTGTTCTGGAGAAACATAACTAAAGCTAATGCTTTTGAATGCTGAAATGTACTGAATCTCACTTTCTAAATTGAACACTTTCGAGATTCTGTTTCTCAAAATTAATAGTGTAATAGTCTTTAAATTATGACCGGAAATGTATCAAAGGGAGAAAGACACTGTAGAATGATGACCAGAATTGTGTGGGTAGAGCTGAATGATCCTTATAGAAGTTTTCTTCTATAATGGACAATTATCTTTGTCTTCTGGTCTAACAAGATCAAAATATGGAACTAGTTAACAGCTTCATTTTGGCAACAAATAACTCTAAGGAGTGAATGTATAACAAAGGTACGGTTGTAAGCATATATATTATGTAGTTGTTTTTATTATTTCCCAGAAGAGAACATTCTTGCTTCAGGCATTCACAAAAGCAATTTGATTTAATAAAAGATTAGATATTATAAGGTGGGGGTTTTTTTCTCTGAGAAACCATCTTGGTATTGAAGTCCCATGATGTTGATATTCTCAGTTCAGCTGATCACTTTGTCATTCTGGTGGAGAGCCATTTTGAATAACCTGGGGATATGATGGGGCTGATCTTGAATTTGGTGTTTGTGCCCATTCTTAAGTGTTGTTTCAGAATTTCTTTAGTTCTTTGTATGAAATATCATTTAACTTTATTAGTTGAAACATCTCTTTTAGGTCATCTTTTAAAGCAGCTAAGAGCTTGACATTTGAAGAAGAAAGTCAAAGAACAACTATTACTATTTTGAATGAAAAAAGTAAAGAAGAAAGTGGCATAAGTTTACAGGTACATGTGTGTTCTTCATAATCTGAAAGCAAACCTCATATAATTACAAATAACAGTAGGTTTCAGCTCAGCTGAAGGCAGATCTAGTTGAACTTGAAAAACTGTACTTGAAAGTTCTTCTCATGCTCTAATTCAAAGTGAACTCAATTGCCTTGCTGGATAAGTTAAATAGAGTATTTATTCACCTGAAACTCTTAATTAACTGGCAGATTTTAAATCACAGCAAAGCAGAACTTGTTTCCTGAAAGAGCTGACCTTGTGGAGGTAACCAGCCAAGTATTTTCAGTTTATTTTGTCAGAGAGCTATGTTTATTAAAAATCAGCAAGCAGTGTAGCAATTTTTAATAATCAAAACCAAAGCAGTATTATCTTCTGCAAGTTTATTTGTTACATAAAATCTGATTCAATAGCCTTGTCTAGGTTACTTTTTCCCCATAGTTCATTATTCCAGAACTGTGCTTGCATATCTTTAAAATGCATTGCGTAGCTGGCATGTCTCATGCTCAGTCAATACTACTGCATTTTGCTTTTCAGACAGTCCACCTAAAGCCCAGTGCTGTTTTTTTAATAACTTAACAGAAATTAGCTACTCCTGAAGAGTTTTGCTAGACTACAAAACTTTTCTTCCTGTGATGATAGCAGGCTTGGATACTGTGTAAAGGAAATTTAAACAATGATAACATTACATGGAAGGACCTATATTTATAAACTTACGTGATATGTATAAAACTCACTTGAGCTGGTTCCAAGAGAGGTAATTATTCATTTTATGGCGCATGTTCTAGGACCTTCTCATGGAGATATATAGAAGCATTGGAGAACCTGACAGTCTCTATGGCTGTGGTGGAGGAAGAATGTTACAGCCATTAGCACGGTATAATTTATTAATGTTCTTACATTCTTTAAAGTCATTGCATTCATTTATTAGTAAGGAACTTAAATTGAAAACTTCTTGTTAACTTACAACAGGATAAGAACGTATGAGCATGAAGCAGTATGGGAGAAAGCCCTTGTAACATATGACCTTGAGGCAAGCCTCTCTCCATCTACTTGCCAGGCAGGAATAATAGAGGTAATTTTATTTTATAATAGGAAATGAGTGTAGGAGTTTATATTCATCATACTGAGTGTCATTTGTAGCAAATGCAAAATTGTTTTAGGATTAAGAGAGGTCTCTTTAGTCATCAAGTCCAGCCCACTGTCATAGGCATCTAAACTGTGTAATATAACTCAATATTTGTCCTGAAAACACTAAGGCTTCTAGTCCTCTTGTCATTCATGTGTAATCCCTGTCTTGGGGAATGAATTTTGTGAAATATTTCAAAATAAATATATTTAATTCTATACAGAATTTGGCCAGCTCCTACAATGACAGAATACAAAAAGGAATGTAACTGGTTGGTTTTGCCATCTCGTTCTTTAAACCTCTCCATTATGGCAACTATCTTACTGAAACAGTGGTAATTCTGGTAAAATAAGTAAATGGAATTGATGTTGTCTTATTTTGATCCCTTAAAAATATGTTGCTTTTTTTAGCATAAATATGTCTACACCAGTTCTGTAATAATATAGCACAGGTATATCTGTGTTTCCCCTCATTTCATTTTCCTATCGTACTTTTCTTTTCCTACCCCAAATTATTTAGTATCACTTTTAAAATTCCACAGTGTTCTCCTTCACAATGGCTACACACATAACCTGGATATGTGGTCACAGTTATAAAGTCATTATGGTCTTCAAACAGATAGGAGTTCAGGAGTTGTAGGAAACTTTTTCAAGTTCCCACCAGGAATAAACAGTGAAACTGGTTTTGTCTATCTACCCAGAAATGATGGAATGGAAAAATGTGAACAGATAGTTCATTTGAAACACAACATGGAAATTTATTTCAAAGAATGCCAGCCACAGTAATAATGAAACCATTTTTCCGGGGTTGCAGGTGTTAATAGTGTGATTAGTAGTGTCTTATTAAAAGTTTTCATCTTATATAGTGCTGAGTCTAGAAATGCTTATGGTTCTGCCTTACCTGCAAAGGCTTTTTTGTCCAAAAATAAAACAAAACCTTTTAAAAAAAAACAGTTCAGTTTATTAAAGGAGGAAAATAATTCAGTAATGTTGTTAATTCCAGGCTCTGCAGAATTTTGGGCTTTGCCACACTCTTTCCATGTACTTAAAAGGACTGGAACATGAAAACACTGAGTGGTGTGTGGAACTACAGGAAATACGCTACCAGGCAGCATGGAGGAATATGCAGTGGGGCCACATCTCTTCTGTCAAGTAAGCTGACTTACTTTTTTTGCTGGTTCTTTATGTGAAAGGCAATGGTTTCAGTTCCAAGAAAAAAGATGACATTAAAATATAATTTCTATGAAGCAGGTCACCTAATTTATCGTAATCATTTAATTGAAGAGCAGTCTTTTTCACTTAGACCTGTCTGGTTTGTATGCATATCACTCTTCCTGAGAAACTGCACAGCATTGATTCTTTTTGATTGTTCATAACTATAAACTGAAATTTTCCATTTTTAACTCATAGTAATGTGTCTTAAGTACATACAAGGAATAGATAGCCTTTAATGTTTAATTTATAAGCAAATAAGCAAAGGAAATATTATTCAGTAAACCACAACAGGTTATCCAGACCTGGATAAGCAAACAGCAGTGTTGATTCATGGCTACTGCTTCATAGGGAGTAATCTCCTCCCTTGTGTATCATTGGATGCCTGGCATTAGTTATTTCATATGACAGGCCAGGATCTAGTGCAAACTCTGTCCCTTCCTAGTTCAGGTACGACATTGCACATTTTAGGAGGAATAGAGAACAGATTCACTACATTTTTGCAAAAGCAGAAGTTACACAATGAGGTCTTCAGTAACTCCTTCTACATTAACTTTTAGTAGTCAGGAGAACGGAGAATTTTTCTCCTAAGGCTCTTACAGAGAGATGGGTCTGGGGAACATGCTCTTGGTGAGTTCATTCTTTTCTCCTGCACTGTCTTAAGATCATTGTTTAGAAGCAGCTGTAGGACTTCACAGACATAGCCTGTTGAAGGGCATGTGTCATGCCACAATCAGGACAAACTTCATACAGGTGGGCTCTCTGTCACTGGCTTAGGGTCTATATAAACCTCTTTGGTTATAAATCTCTTAGGCAGATAGAATATTCAGCTTTAATACAGGGGCAGAAAATCATGTAAGATGAAAAGAGAGAGAATGAGATGACAGGAAAGAGGAGAGTCAAGGAGAAACAGAAGGAAAAGTGAAAAGGACAAAGAAGAGAAAAATTAAATTGAACACTATGTTTTTTTTCAGCCTTACAATTTTCTTTATTTTTTTCCTTTTTAAAAATATTTCTGAAGTTAAAAGGAAAAAAATCTTGATTCTGAACTGAAGTTGCATACGTATCATAATAAGTCTTTCAGAATACTGTAAGAAATGTGTTATGATTAAATTTTTATTGTGCCATTGAGTTTGTGTTGTATTTTTGATACAACCAAACAATTTGACAATTGCTGTTTTTTCTTTGTTTTAAAAGAACAGTTTGAATTTATAAAACAAGTAATTTGAAAGTTTAAGGGTTGCATTATTATTTTTTATCATAAAAAATTCAGTCCATCCAACTGCAGAACATGTGTCATTAAAACTGTTTGTCACAAAGATAAAATTGACTTCTTTGTGGAGAATACATAGTTTTCCTTTTATTTTATGTTACTATTGTTTTATTTGTAAGGGATAAGACAGAAAGACCAGGGTACCATGAATCACTGTATGATGCTCTTCAGTCTTTACGAGATAAGGAGTTCTCGGCTTTCCATGACAGTCTTAAAGATGCCAGGTAACTTTATGCAAATATTCTGCTGTTAGAGACAGAGTGTGTGTGTGTGTGTGTATGTGTGTGTGTAGTCACAAGTTACGTATAAAAGAATTATGGAGGTTTATGGGCTTAAATAAACATTCATGCATAGACTAAAATTAATACTTCTGGACTGAGACTTAATTTCTGAGTTTTTTAACTTAAATTTGTCTTCTGTGTATACACAATTTGTGTGCTAATTGCAGTTACATTTCCTGTACTATACATCTCTTGCTTTACGGTCCTTTTAAGTGGATTTGAATGCTGACTTCTCTTCTTTAGTTGAGCTGTCGCAGAGGCTTTGGAGTTTATATATGCCTTCTTTGTTTTCATTTCTTGACAAACTTAATTTTTTTACCTTTAATGGTAGTAAAAAATAATTTCAAACTCAATAGTTTTGCTATTCAAATTCTGTTCATTGTGTGGAAATTATGTTACAGATATTTGTAATTACATGTGGATATAAAAAAAATATTAATTTACTCTTTTTCTGTTAAATCCATAGAGTGAATGAAGTAGAAGAGCTGTGCAAAGGCAGTCTTGAGTCTGTTTATTCATTATATCCAACTCTTTGCAGACTACAGCTAATTGGAGAGTTGGAAAACATAGGTTTGATGTTCTCCAGGTATTTTTTTAAGCTTGTTTCATGCTCCTTTCTCAATTTTCAGGATTTTTGGTAATCAAGTCTAGCATGAAAATAAAATTACCTCAACAAATTTTATTCGTGAATGTCTCAATCTTCATCTTAAAAAGTATATGGATTTTAGCTTTACTATGTGAATACAAATCTAGATTGCCTTTATTTTCAGACTGGATTTTTTCATAGTCTAGATTTAATTATTTGATACTATGCCAATACTGTATTTTAAATAATTGGTTTCTTCCATTTGTTTTGAGTTCCCTGGTATGCTCCAAGGTAGCAGACACATGTCCTAGCCTTTGGTTTACTAAAGGAAATGACTCATCCTCTTTTCTTTCTAAAAATGTTTTCCATTTCCTTGATGATGCCCATAGATCTATTGAAAATTGTTTCAGTTTGAATCACTTTCTTCATGGACCTCTATTACCATCAATATTCTACCTGAATTCTTAACATTGCTTTTTAATCATGGGAAGGTATTCATGTCTGTAGTGCTATTAACATTAAATTTTTTCTGCTATAGTTATATCAGTTTGATAGCTTATAGTCGTTTAGTATGTTCAGGACCTTATGAACCATTGCTATTTGCAGTTAATGAATTGCCTAAGAAAATAATACATATAAGGACAACCTACACAGCTACAATGTTACAGTTTGGGATTTATTCTTATATTAACCCATATATGACCTACATAATAAGATAGATCTCCAGGAATATGAATCTTGGTCTCTAATCTATTAAGTAGCCCTGTGTTTGAATGTGATTCACTTTGTTGATGGACCTTTAACACAACACTGCTGGATGCTTAATCAAGAATGTTTACAGTAGAGCTGTTCACCCACCTTACTAATGCTGATTTCTTCATGTTTTTTAAAACTGGAAGCTTGACAGCTTATTCTGCATACTAACCATTGTGGGGGTTTATGGACAGTTTCTTGGTCTTGAACTGTAGATTGTGAACTACCTTGGTAGTTTACTTTGGTTACTTACCTTGCATTTCACTAGTATTTAATAAGAATTAATAACAGGTCTTTATTCTTTTGGGATCAATTGCAGATCTGTCACTACTCAACAACTGGATGATATTTATTTGAAATGGCAGAGACAGTCCCAACTTCTCAAGGACAGTGACTTCTGTTTCCAGGAACCTATCATGGCTCTGCGCACTGTAATTTTGGAGATCTTGCTTGAAAAGGAGAATGAAAATACCAAAAGAGAATGTATTAAAGACATCCTGACCAAACATCTAGTGGAGCTCTCTAGGTTGGCAAGAACTGCTAAAAATACACAGGTAACAAATTCCAGGAAATACCAGTCATGGCTGTTTAGTTTTTAAGTTTATAGAAGAGCTTAATTTTTTAACAGTACTAAAGATTAACTGTATTCTAAGTTTATTCAATTATTAATTAATTGGAGACTTAAACTGTGTAGAACTTACTCGTAAATTATGTTTATGGACATGTTTTCTGAATTTTATTCATAACTGTAAGCTACTCTAAGGTAGATAATATAAAAATGAAATTTTTGCTGAAGAATGCTTATATAGCTCTCTTACTTTATTTTGGTGCAGTTTTATATATCTAGCTTTTACTTGCATAATACTGCTATAGTATTCCAGAGTAAAGCTGCAGAAAGAACTCCATTATATCCGTTGTTTTCAAGGTTTTATACTCTCAAAGCACCATTGCACTGTGGTATGTCTCTCTCTGTGAATCACTTAATGGGAGTTGCAGTACCGGTGGTTTCTGCAGGTGCTGATGCAGTTGAGGTCCAGAGTGAGCCTTGACTTGTTCTCAATAGTGCATCTGAAGGAGTAACTCAACAAGAATTTATGGAACGATATCCTCCAAGAACCTCTGCAGAAAATAGTTCCAGCTAATTATATAACCTGGGAAGATGTTTAACACTTCACATATGTGAAACTATATTAAACTTTGATTTCAGGAAGGTTATAACTCTTTTGTGAATAATGATGAAATCAGTAGAACAGCTGCCCTTGATTTCATAAATTTGTGAGCTTTACTCAGTGCCTCTGGAATTGCTTGGGAAAATTACTTCTTCAGAATTCTTCCATCTCATGACTGCCCAGCCACTAATACTGTGGTGATGAGTATCCTGTAAGAGCCTTAACAGAAGTTAAAATTTTTCACTTTGATTTTTAGTTACAGAAGATTAAAATTGGGGTGCCATGTTTTGGGAGGTTTATAAGGTTCTGAAAGATTGAGCCCAGTGTGTTACTGAAAACAGTATCATTCCAGCCTCTCTAGTGTTGTAGGTCATGTGCAACCTTTGGGTCGTACCTCTGGGCCTTATCAGTCTTTCAAACCAAGGGATGATAACCCTTTCCTTTTGGCACACTAGTAGTTGGCAACACTAAGTGTCTGGATGTAGGAAAGCTTTTGAGGAAGTACTCTTTGCAATTAATGGCTTTTCTTCCTCTTTGGTGCCACTACCATCCATCAGGAGAGGGAATAGTGCCATACAGAACCATCACACTGACTGCTAATTGAAGTACCCAGACTTACATTGTCATTTACAGGCTTTCTTACATTTTCATTGTTTACCTTGCTTATTTTAAAGTTTGATTGATTTGGTTATTGGTTGGACAACTTATGAAAATACACTTGAGTCTTGATCTTTGACACTGTTAAAAAGATAGTTTGCTCTTTGTACTATCATAGTGATTAAATTATGAGGATGTTATTTCACCAGTGATACAAGTGAAGGGGTAGGCATACAAAAGAATTAATGTATGGTGGTGCCATTTTTCTTCATTATTTTCCTGCCATCTCTTCGGGTGTAATAAAAATCACTAAGCTAAAATTATAAATCCCTTATTTCAGTAGGTACTGATTGTCGAATTTCCATTTTTTATACCTGCAAGTAATTTGAAATGTTATACATTGATACTTTATTTGGGGCTTTGAAGTTTAATTCCATAGTCTATTTTTGTTGCAAATCAGGATTTTCTGAAAGTATATAGAAAAATAACTTCATCTCTTTGCTGCAAATAAATTCTTAGCATTGGATAGGCAGAATATGCTGCACAAGTAGACCAAATGAAGGTGAAGTTTAAAAACAAAACTTGCTGCGAATACATGTATTTCATTTTGAGAATTTTTTATAACCTTTTTTCAATTTCAGCTTCCAGAAAGAGCTATGTTTCAGATCAAACAACACAATCCAGCAGGATGTGGAGTTTCTGAATGGCAACTAGAAGAAGCTCAGGTTTTCTGGGCTAAAAAGGAAGAGAGCCTTGCACTGAATATTCTTAAAAAGATGATAAAAAAATTAGATGCAGATTGGTTTCAGGTATGTGTTACATAATGTATAAACTTGTGGGAAGTAAATTATTTAAGATGCTAGTTCCACTTTCTGAAGTTTTCCCTTGGAAGAAAATTAAAAGGCTGTCTGCAATATTACTAAATCTGGTTTGTACTCTCCAAATGTCTGAAAGCAAAAAAATCTGTATTAGCAAATCTCACCAGGAGTTTTCAAAGCAAGTCTGTAAGAGTGGCAAATGTTAGAATTCATTATTTTGCCTCCAGTGCCACCACTGTGAAATATATCGCTTTTTAAAATCAAAGATAATTTCCCTTGATAAAATATTAACTTATTTTAAACAAAAATGTTACATAGAGCTAAATAATCTTGTTCTCTGCCAATAGTTAATGAAACCAATGGCCAAGTGGGATTCTTTAAGCACAGAAACACAGAATCACTTAGGTTGGAAAAGACCTTTAAGATCAAGTCCATCTGTTAACCTAGCACTGCCAAGTCCACCACTAACCATGTCCCTAAGCACCACATCTACATGTCTTTTAAATACCTCCAGGGATGGTGACTCAACCACTTCCCTGGGCAGCCTGTTCCAATGCTTGATAAATGCATTTTGGTGAATAAATTTTTCCTAATATCCAATCTAAACCTCCCCTGACACAATTTGAGGCTGCTTCCTCTTGTTCTGTCACTTGTTACTTGTGAAAAGAGACCAACACTCACCTCATACAACCTCTTTTCACATAGTTGTAGAGAGCAATAAGGTCTCCCCGAGCCTCCTTTTCTTCAGGCTAAACAACCCCAGTTCCCTCAGCCGCTCCTCATAAGGAACACAGATATGATTTGGGGTGCTGTTTCATGTCTTTGAATCCTCCAGTCATTTACAAGCACATTGAGCAGTGAGTTTTACGTTGTACTTCTGAAAATGGAATCTTACCTCAAACAGGGGAATGTTTTCTCATCAAATTTGACTTCAGTAAGTGCCTTTGAATCTTAGTTATCTTAGATCTTTTTGTAAGCTTTCTGAAAGATTATGTCACTGACAGGCTGGTAAGATACAGACTGGATAGATAAGACTAGAAGGTAGGTGAAAAACTGGCTAAACTGCTGAGCTCAAAGGGATGCTTATCGATGATTTAGAAGCAGCCTAGTAGCCAGTCAGAAGTAGAGTTTGTTAGTTTGTTACAGGGTCTGATATTTATGACTGAGATCAGTACAACAGGACTGAATTTCCTCACCATCTTTGCAGATAACAGCAAACTGGAAAGAGAGATAGATATTCTGAAAGGAAGAGCCACCAGTCACAGAGACCTCAGTAGTTTGGAAGATTGTGCCAGTAGGAATTGCGTGAAATCAGTGGGAAGTCCTTCATCTGGGATAGAGTAATCTCAAGCAACATTATAGAAAGAGGTCTGACTGGCTGGGGTGTAGCTTTATCAAAAAGGACCTGGGGGTACCGATGAACAGCAAGCTAAAATGTTTCAGCAGTGTACCCTTGTAGCAATGAAGGTGAATCATGCCCTAGGCTGCATCACCAAGAGTGTAACCAATAGATTAAAAAGTATGATTATTCTACTCTGTTTGACACAGCCCACAGCTGAAATAATGTTTCCAGTTTTGGTCCACCATTCAAGAGAGACATTGAAAAATTGGAGAATTCCAGCAGAGGGCCATAACAATGATTTAGAGGGTTGGAGAACTTGGCAAAGGAATAGTGGTTGTAGGGATTGGGTTTTTAAGCCATAAGAAGTGAAGGTTTAGGGGGATCCAATCACAGTCTTCCAATACTTTAAAGGTAGTTATAGTGAAGATGGAGATAACGCTGATCACAGAGATGCAGAGTGAAGGGGCAAGAGGCAATGGCACAAGTTGTTTCAAGGGAAATGCCGTCTGGATACAGGGAGAAAATTCTTTACCATTAAACTCTGTGAGCAGTTTGCCCAACGGAGTGGTGGAATCTTCCTTGGTGAAAATGAATAGTCAGGATTCAGTTTAGGAGAGTCCTAGATAACTTGATCTAAAGCCCTGCTCTCAACAGAAGTTTGGGCCAGATAGCCTCCAGAGGTTCCTTCCAGCCTCAACTTTTCTGTCATTCTACGATGTCCTTTTACAAAAGCTATTCTGATTTTTCTTCATACTAATCCATCTGTTCTTTTTGTTTTGGGTTTGTTGTTGTTTTTTTTTTTTTTTTTTTTGCTAATTTGTCTGCTTCTAATAAGAGTTACTAACCTGTGCTTCCCTGGAACTTGTTAAAATACTGGTGTCACATCTGCCACCTGCCACTCCTCATATTAAGGCAGTTTTAAGCAAAAGCTTTTATACCTCTTTTAGTAGTGGAGTTATTTCATCTGTGAATTGCTGTAGACCTTTCAGAAAAATACATTCTGGTCATAGTGAGTTGATAGTTTTCATTTTGTCTGTTTGTTTAGTATTTAGTAGCCTTTGCTGTTGCGCTTCAGTAGCAGACAGACCTCTGAATCCTTCATAAAGAAGGGCTTTGCATTGGGACTCCTCAAGTTCCTCCACAGTGAACACAAATGCAAATAATTTAATTTTTTTTTCTGCTTTATCTTCTTTGTTTTATACCGATTGTCTTTTTATCAAGTGGATTGACTGGTTGCTAGCTGCTCCTAGTATGTTTAAAAAAATGCTTTTTTATTATTTCTTGAGTCTTCAAGTTGGTTTTTTTGGACACCCTGATGGTGTGTTTTTATTTTTTCATTTGACAGGATATTTTATGATACCTTCAAAATGTATTTTCTTTTTCTCTTGGGCAAAACTGCATTTTACGTACTGATGTGGTAAAAATTTCTTCATCATCCTTACCTTTGTGTTTAGCTATGATGGCTTTCTTTGAGAATTTTTGGAGGGTAGTAAAAATTTGCTTTGAATCCATATACATTAAGGAATATGACACTTCAGAAAAGCTGGAGAGTTTGAGGCCATGTTCTCCATCTATATCAGGGCAAAATCAAGAGCTTCTGCTCCTCTTTTGATTTTCATGATTGCTCCATGAATCAGTTGATGAGGGCCTCCAAAAATTTAGTCCTTCTCTCACCTTACAGTGTTATGTCTATGCTATCCATATAAGGAGGTTTTGTGTTTCACAGCCTATGATACCCTTCAGTATTTCACAGTCAGTGTTCCTATCTTCATCAGGTGGGAAAAGACATATGTATATTTTCAGTATATGTATCCTATACTAAAAATATTTTAGAAACTTGTTGTACTATACAGTTAAAGCTGAGCTTCCAGTCTGAAGGCAAGTCCTTTGGAAACATGCTCCATCATCTTCTCAGAGCACTTTTAACCAAGTTTCCATGTAGAGATCTGTCTGAAAAATGTAATGATCATATATAGTTATCACAATTCCTGAATGTTTCCTACAGAGCATACTGTGACTTCAGACTAAATGGGGATATTAGAAAATACAATTCTGGAAACATGCTGTCAATTTATTTAATTTTTATTACATTATGTCATTGTTTTATTCTGTTTTTTCACTGTTTAAACTGTCGGGTATTTAAAAATATGAGCTCTCCTTTAGTCTGATGTAGGATGTGAATGTGATTTAAGGTTACTGACTACTGTAGATGTGGATGGTAAATGACTCCATAGATACATTACATGTAATAGGCCTGAGTGATTGAATTATATTCAGGGTTTAAAAGCTTTATAAATTGCCTACCTCATATGTAAAAGGTATTTTTATTTCATGTCTCCCTTTTTTTTCTTTTCTTTTCTCTAAAACTTGCTTTCTCAAAGGTTGAGAATGATCCTCATCTGAAATTGATGTATACAGAGTGTCTGAGGCTATGTGGAACCTGGTTAGCAGAAACATGCTTGGAAAACCCTACAGTCATCATGCAGAAATACTTAGAAAAGGTGCATCCAGTCCTTGAAATGTGCAGTCTTTGAGATAATGCTCTGCCAAAATATGGTGTTAAAATGTTGAGTAAATTTTTCAGTGCAGCGTTTATTTTTCTGGATTGAAAATATGGTTTCTTATAAAAATACTATCGTTTCACATAGTATTGTATAACACTGTAATCCTATAAAATATTCAGAATATAGCTTTATAGAATTCACAGTGAAATTTCTGTGTAATGTGGTCATAGAAGTGCAGTGATTATAAATATTAGTCCAGTTTTCCTTTCCTAATCCACTCAGTCCCCATCCTGTCCTTCTCAGGACAGATCATTCACTTACCATGTTTTCACTATGGGCATTGCATTTGTAACATTCTCTTTCCAGGTGCTGAAAAGTCTTGTTCTGGTGTTTCAAAGTATTGTAATTTTTTTAAAACTCTTAGTAGTAGAAGCATTTTTATTAATAATTGTTCACTCTGCATTTCTTTATTTCGTGCTAGTTTGTGAAACTACATAGTTGCTTTTCTCTGTTACTCCATATGCATTCTTCACTGATAACTTGAATCAGTGACTTTCACAGAAAATTTCCTTTTTTTTGGTCACTTTTTAAACTGTCTTCTATTTTTTTTCATCACCATCTGACAATACAAGGTTGTAAAACTATCATAAAACTTCACAGTTACTTTAAAAGATAGATAGCTGTAGGAGAATCCTGTGTGGTTATTAAATCTGTTTCATACAGGATAATCTTGACTGTTTTCACTGAAACACTCCTCAATGATTAAATTAATTTAGGAGAAGAATATTCAGCCTGGCAGATTTTATTTTGTATGCATATTTATTCCATCATAGACACCATTAAATAACCTGTTCGAGCAGATGAGTCTGATTGAGCAGGGTGGTTGGACAAGATGACCTCCAGAGATCCCTTCCAACCTCACCCATTCTGTTTTTCTGTGATAATAGAGTTTTATCAAGTATTACGCAGCACTATTTATCTTATTATCAGTCTTATCATTATTGTATCTTCCCTTTTAGGCTGTGGAAATTGCTGCAAGCCACAGTGGAGACAGCAGTGATGAGCTGAAGAAAGGAAAGATGAAGGCTTTCCTGTCTTTGGCTCGTTTCTCAGATAATCAGTACCAGCAAATTGAGAATTATATGAAATCTTCAGAGTTTGAAAATAAGCAGGCATTACTGAAGAAGGCCAAAGAGGAGGTCGGTCTTCTCAGGGAGCGTAGAGTTCAGACAAATAGGTGAGCATTCAAATGAAGAGGTGGCTATTGTGGAGCTACCAAAGACTCCATCTTCATTAATTCTCTGGCCAAGTGGTACAGCATGGATCACATCTCGAAGTTTTCCTTCTCCACAAAACATTGGCCAAATCTGTAGTGCTTTTTGCGAATAGTTTCTGAACTGTGCCTGAACGCGGTCTAGATAGCGTGGGCTAAAACTAAACCAAGGAATGTTACAACAGTTAAACAGTATGGATGATCATGGGCCAGAATTCACATTTATTCCCTAGATCTGTTCAGTTTATTTGACAGAGAAAATGTTACAGAATAAAAATAAATGAGTTTGAGATTTTTCTCCATTACACAATGGTGAAAGAGTAGAATTCATCTTAATACAGAATTCTTAAAGATTTAGTAGGAGCAATTGTGAATGAGCAGAAAAAATTGAACTTCAGCTGTTGGAAACTGAAGTCTTTACACAAATGATCTGTATTGGATACTCACATTTACACCAATATTGAGGTTAAATCGTTAAAAAAGAAAAAAGACACTGACTGAAAATTTACTTAGGGTGGTGGGTCTGTGTGGACATAGGCCAAGGAAATAGCTCCCACAATTTGGTTTCTCAGTTGTTTATTTTACTGTGCTTGTACATACAAAACATGTTAAAAAAATGTTAAATTAGTAAGAAAGAGAACTATGGACAGCCTTGCTATAAGTTCATTAAGAGATAATTTGTTGTTTAAAAATGTCTGTTCACATAGATACACAGTGAAGGTTCAGCGAGAACTTGAACTGGATGAATGTGCCATACATGCCCTAACTGAGGATCGTAAACGTTTTTTATGTAAAGCAGTGGAGAATTATATCAACTGTTTACTAAGTGGAGAAGAACATGATATGTGGATCTTCCGACTCTGTTCCCTGTGGCTTGAAAATTCTGGAGTCAGTAGAGTTAATGAAATGATGAAGGTATATGTCTGCTGTTGCTTTTCCTTATGCTTTGACATTAAACATTAAATTATCCATCTTTCTTCTCCTGCCTTTCTAGATGAATTACAGTGCTGTGCAGTATGCTTTCCTATGTATCTCCTTAACTTTTCCCTCCAAACTTACTTTTTTCAGTCATCATTGCCTATAAATTTTTCATCAGAGCTCTAATTCTCAATGCTTTTTAATTTAATTTAATTTAGCATTTTAATTTGACAATTCTGTATGATTAAGCATATCACCTCGTTGTCACCTTGTTCTTTACATACATTGGATACTACCCATCTACCCATCTTCAACATCCTTTAGTATGTTACTCTAATTCATATTATATATACTTCTAGGTGAAAGGATATGCTTTTAGATTATCTGTATAACACAATAGCTAGGAACCAGTAAAGTTCTCATTCTCAGGCTGGTTCTATCTTTCTAGAATTGTGCAGGAAATCTGTTCATTCTTACCTGAATGATCTGTATAATTTAATTCTTTGCTTTGTGATATAACTTTGAAAAATAGGAAGTGTTTCTTTATTCATATTGTTAACACAAAATTTTTTCTTGTCTTAAACTAGTTTGTAATTTTTTTTCAGTTAGGATTGTCTCTTGCCACAAAGAATCTAGAAATTAATTCTGAATCAGTATATCTGAGCTCTGCTCTAATAGAATAGAAAATAGTTTTCTTGTGAAGGACTTGTATCATTTAGGAGACATGGGCTATGATGATGTGATACTCATTGGATTGCCATTTGATCACACAGCAATGATTACTCTCAGTTTAAAAAAAAAAATGCAAAACCAAAATTGCTAGTCCTTCCTTGCTCTTTTATGATTACAGGTTTTTTGGGGCTTAGTACAGCTTTCTAACTGAATTTTCTCTACTACAGAAAAATGCAGGGAAGATCCCTTCATACAAGTTTTTGCCTCTGATGTACCAGCTGGCTGCTCGGATGGGAACCAAGATGATGGGTGGTTTAGGATTTCATGAAGTTCTGCATAATGTAATATATGCTTTTTGTATCTAAAGATATCTCGATTGGCTTTGTAGTGCATACTTCTAAACAATATGTATCTTCCTTTGTGCAGTTATAGCTAAATGGGTTATGTAGGTGATAAAGGTGTATTAAAAATGAGTGATGCAAAATCAGTATAGTGGGAGGAGGTAGGGAGAGATTTGGGGACTTTTTTCACTGCTACTTAATTGATGTTCTTGCTGTATAAGAATAATCTTATGCAGGCATAGTAATATACTTTGAATGTATTTCAGTTGTGGAAATACCATCTAAGTATTACTTTTTATTTCTTTTTAGGAACCTTAGAAGTTCAAAATAATTTAAAATGTTAAGTAATTTTTTTTCTTCTCTACAGTTTTCAATAATGGGATCTTTTTGTTTTTCTTGACAGCTAATGTCTAGAATTTCACTGGATCATCCACATCATACTTTGTTTATAATCTTAGCCTTGGCAAATGCTAACAAAGATGAACTCCTCACAAAACCAGATGCAATAAGAAGAAATAAGTTAATTAAAAATGCCCCGAAAGAAATCTCCCAGCTTGATGTGGTGACTACAAAAAATTCTTTTCTATTAATCACATTCAGTCCTTTCATTTTGTTAAAAAATGGAAAAAAAACTTATGCCAAGGGGTATTTTAGTGTAGAGCTCATCAGCTGACTTTTGTTAAGAAAGAATAAGAGGAAAAAAGTATTTTTAATAATAAAAAACTCTCCTTTTGTGCATACATTGATAATTATTATTGAAAGAAGTAATTATGGGGTTGAACAAAACATGTTTCACATTTCCTGCAACAAATAGCCCCAATTATTGCAGAGTTTTGTGATGAATGTCCTTGATGTGTGATTCTGTAAGAGGCATTTTAGATGCATCAAAGACTTGAGTGGGTTTATTGTTAAAAGTACATACTGAATTGAGTATTTTTTCTGCTTTGAGTGATAATGTGTTTTAAGTATTTAGCCTTGTGCGCTATATCTTCTGTTTCTTTATGTGACCTTTATATGTTAAAAGCCACAATGATGGGTAACGCTGAACTGTGACTTCATCTTAATGTTGTTACTCCGTAATTTTTGTTGAAACCTGTTTTTGGAATCATCTCCTGTGTAGATTAATGTCCCTTCTTTCCCCATCACTATAGGCCTGGCATGGTTGTTTGTCATTACACTCTTCCTGCCCGCCCCCCACCTCCACGATATATTTTTTTACCACATTTTTATGTGGCTTTTTTCTCTCTTTCTCTCAGATTTGTAGCTCTTTTGTGTACCATCCTTAGGAGTAGCATTATACTAAACTCAACTAAGTCTCTCAGAGTTAGGCACAGAAGAAACACACAGTCAGATTTTTGCCTTTTGCATACAGGCTTTTTCTTCAGTTGGGAGGAAGTAACAGAAGCAGAAAGGTGGTAGAAGAACATCCAAAAACGCCTGTCCCTTTTTCTGAAGAATTTTTGCAGATTTTTTTGCACTTTGCCTGGACAGATTTTCTCCCTCTCCATCCCCAATAGTATTTTACTTTACTCATTATCTCAGATTATACAACCCAGAACTTTTCTTCAAATTATTTCTGTTCATATCACAAAGGGCTGTTTATTATTGCAAGTTTCTCTGTTTTCATAGGATGTATCTCAATTGTACTTATTTGACTGCATGTTATGATGCATCTTTAACCTTAAAAGGTGTAGTTTGCAAGATCTGATCTTTATATTCTATTGGGGTTTCTTAGGACAGAATGGAGGCTGCTAGCAATATAATCAATATCGTAAGAAAAAGGAGAGCTCTTATGGTGAGAAATGTTGAAGCGCTTTGTGATGCCTACATCACATTAGCAAATGTAGATGCTACTCCATGGAAATCTCAAAGAAGTAAGTCTTGGAAAAATTATTCTTAACAGTGAAGATGTATTTTATTTTCTTGAATTAAAAATTGTATTTCTAAATATTGATGTTTAGTTAAAGGAGATACTATGCTAGCACTGTGTCCTGTTTTTGATAAATGTAGAACTTGGTCTGGATTAAAAGTTGTAGTAATCACTTGCACTGTAAGGTTTGAAACTCCAGAAAACTCTGGTTGTCCTGTAGCCATCTTCATCAGCTTGACAGAAGTCTGCAGTGCAGGTTTGGGTCCCAAAAGCAATGTAGGCTGTTTTTTGTGAACTTTGATGTATGTTTATAGTTCTGAATTTAAAAGTATTAGTTCCTTTTAATTACAGAAGGAATAAGTATTCCAGCTGACCAGCCAATTACTAAACTGAAGAATTTGGAGGATGTCGTTGTTCCTACAATGGAAATTAAGGTGACTGACGTTGAAATAAATGTACACTATAACAGCAAATAGTAAAATCAACTTCAGATTTTTATAATGGCAGTCAGGGCATTTATCTCTTCATCAAATTCTCATGCTCTTTACAGGTCAGCCTACCAGGTGTACTTTCCTGTCAGGAGAGAGATGCAGGGTGAGATGGTTTCCTTAGGCTTTAGGAGGCCTTGACCCCAAGTCTTACATTTGCTGGATTGGCTTATTGTGACTTACTGTATGAAGCTGGCTTTGCCACTGCTACTGTTACCACTGACTAGTCTTTCATTATCAAAAGGGGTGATGAGCTGCCTAAATCACAGAGAGGATTTGGGAATCTGGATCTCCTGTTTTGTAGGTGCTAGCTCACAGTTTCTGGGAGGCACTTCATGTCCAGAAAGGTGTGAGAATAAATAGATACGCCTCTTCCGCTGTTCCTAAATGTTTTTACATGTTATATGTAAAAGCATGTATGTTTTTTCCGTATACGTTTGTACCATTCAGTAATGGTGAATGATCCATTCCATTAGCGTAAGTCATTGACTGGATAGGTGCATAGGCTCTCATTCTTAGATGCCACATGCTCTACCGAGGAAATTTAGCTGTTTCAGGAGTGTAGAGTTGCTTTTTGGGCCAGCCACGTAAAATTTAAATGTTATGAAGCCAAACTTCCCCGCGTTTAAGTCCTCAGGCTGTGTCTATAGAGCTAACTAAAACAAGCCAAGGGACTGTTCTACGCCACTTGACTTCAGAGGCCAGAAATTGCAACTCATGTTAAATAGCATTTGTAGGACTCCTGTTGGTCCCAGGGGTTGCTCCTTTGTACAAGTTTGTTGTCCTGTTATTTATCTTTCTTGTTCTCCACTACAAGCTATATCTGAAATAGTTGGAGGTCTGTTGTGTAAAGAGCTGGAACGGTATTTCCTTATAGCTAACTGAGTAGGATTGCTTTGTGGCATGAGGATATGGAGGATGACTGAAGATACAGATCCTGTAGATTGCAACACTGTTAGGATTATAGATTGTGTCCATTTGCAGCCTAGTACCTCCCAACCATACATGAACATTTTCCCAGGAGAATGCTAGTTGGGAGAGGGTGAAATTGTGTCAGAGCTTGTTTAGTGGAAATCTGCAGCACCATGTCCCCTCTACCAATGAGGTGAACAAGGAGGAATCAAACTAACTCCTTTGCTCAGCATATTTTTATAGCCTTTGTGGGTATTACCCTTGTGGATGATGGATTGCTCATATTAATATTTAGCATATAGTCTGCTAACGAGGTTTGCATACAACTCATTACCACTTTCTCTGAGTGAAGTTGAGGTAATGTATTAATTTTAAACTAATTTATAATTTCAGGTGGATCCCACGGGACGATACGAAAATTTGGTGACAATAAGGTCTTTTAAGCCAGAATTTCGCCTAGCAGGAGGCCTAAATCTGCCTAAAATAATAGACTGTGTAGGATCAGATGGTAAAGAAAGGAGGCAGCTGGTTAAGGTAGGTTCTGCTGCTTGTAATGACATCTCAGAGATATGGCATGTTAGAATTTTTTCTAAGTTCTCTTGACAGCTTTCTCATGTATCACTTCTGTACCATGAGCAGACTTTTCAGAGTTCCATGTCAGGTTTCTCAGTTCAGAAATGCCTTAATAAAGGAAATTGCAAAGTAATAATAAGTAATATAACAAGAGCATAATATAACTAATATAAATAATAACATAATAAAAAGTAATAATATTAAATATTTTTGTAATTATTTTTCAACCGTGCATGTAATATACAGTAGGTTACCAGTCAACTACCGGACCTTCAACTTGCGTGGTCATGTCTCAACTAGTGACCTGGAGTGTACGGCAAATAAAAGCCATCAGCATTTTGTGTTAAATACCTCCTTTCTTCTTTAGTCCCCATATAAAAAGAATTGCAATTCAGCAACAATCTAAAACATGCACATCGAAACACAGATCTCTCCAAAAAATTTACTTCTCTAAACTTGGTTGATTTCATTCTGTCTGTCTTTGAATGTAAACATTCAGCAGCTGCTGGGACAATTCTGTTTTGCTGTTAAGCATGGGGTAGTTTTGAAAGTTTTAGAAAAGCATGAATCACTAGATCTGCCTCTAATAATCAGAAGTGCAGCACCAACTGATGCCGCTTCAGCTGTGTGCTGGATTGCTAAATATGGTGAATGAAATACCTGTTTTTAAAAAGAGTTCCATAAGGCACGTAGGTTGATTGGAACCTTAATCAAGTAACATTTATCAAAAAAAGGAAGAAAAAAGTGATGATTTAAGTTAATTATCATTCTTTGTAAGCAGCTGAGTACTATTAGAAAATCAAATACAGAGGGAAAAAACCCTGTTCGTTACATTTCACTACAGGTGATTATTGTGGAAAAGTAACTTGTGTTTTGTGTAATTTTTTTAAATAGTTTTTTTAAGTTGATGAACAGGAAGTTGGATGCTGAAAAGTGTTCTCTAACTACTTTTTCTGTTTATGCTGAAGGGGCGTGATGACCTGAGACAAGATGCTGTTATGCAGCAGGTTTTCCAGATGTGCAATACATTGCTCCAGCAAAACACTGAAACACGGAAGAGAAAATTAACTATCCGAAGGTACAAGGTAACCATGAACAGCTGCTGCAGCAGAGGAATGAATGCTACTGATAAAGCATATTTCCACATTCTTCTCTTTAACCCAAAGACAATATAAAAGTGCATTTATTTATGTGCTATTAAAATAGTCAGTGCTCCTTGAGCTACAAAATAAACAATTAATACAGTTTAATTATGACAATTACAACAATTACTACAATTTAATTTTTTTCCAAATGCTTAAAAAAAATTCTGATTCCCAATATATATTTAAATACTCTTCAAAGCTTTCTTTATATGAATTTATAATTGTAAAGAAATTAAGTCATGCACTGTCCTTGAATTCTAAGTTGCTATCATTAAACTCAAGCATGCAAGTTTGTTTATGAATTCTCATTAATTTCAGTCTTGTGATATTCCTTAATTTATTAACGATCAATTTTAGTCTTGCAGTATTCCTTAAAACTGCATCCAGAAATTCCACCTAGGATCTGTTCATGCAGAATTTGAATTGCAGAACTCTTCTTGTTGGAATTGGGAATACAGGAATAAATTCTTACTCTGAATGCAGAAAATGTATTTGAACAGGAACTTTCCCGTCCTCCTTCCTTTTTATGCACTTGGGTTTATAATAATAGCTATAAAGGTGACCTCTGAGTAAGTACTCTATAAGTGAAAGTTCTTGCCTTTGACAAATGAGAAATGTGCACTCCAGAATATCTAAAGGAGCTTATCTGAATTGCTAGCATAGTTTTAATAATTCACAGGTGGAGTTAGAGTCACATTTTTTTGAATAATTTTCCATGAAGACTCAGGTTTTTACGTGCATAAAAATGAATGAAAGCAGGGAAAAATGGAGCAGGGGTTGCATTATGAGATAAAGAGACTTTCATAAGAAAAGAAAATTGAAGAAAACAGGCAGTAGCGATTTGTCTGAGGACAGGAGATGGTTCATTCTGGCCAGTTCTGTCTGCTACAGCAGTTGAGGTAACTCCTGCAGCCAGTTAGGAAGAGAGAAACTGTTCCCTAGAAGGAGAAGCAGGCTAAGACAAGCCTAATATATTCACACAGTTACCGTGTGTGTTTGTTCCAGATTTTACTTTTTGGGTGCAATTTGCCCAATGTTTATATCGTCCCATTCTAGCATAGCAATCTGCTGGTAATCACAGGTCATCCAGAATACTGACAGGAACATGCAAATTAAGTATAATCATTCAGTTGTGCTGAATTACCAAGCAGAAGGCTCTCCGGGGTAGGAGGAAATTTGCAAGTATTTGATAGGAAAACCTTGAGTGTGTTTTATGTATGTATACCTGTGTTTAGAACATGTACTGTGGTCAGCCATATGGTTTGGTCTTTTCTCTTTTTAAACAAACACGGATAAGCACCCATGCCCTGCAGCTTGCATATTCATAGTTGTGTGTGTGTAACCCTCCCCCATGCAGCAGTGGGTTTGTTTTTACAGGTGGTTCCCCTCTCTCAGAGGAGTGGTGTTCTTGAGTGGTGCTCAGGTACAACTCCCATCGGGGAGTTTCTTGTGAATGTTGAAGAAGGAGCTCACAAGAGATACAGGCCAAAAGATTATTCCAGTTATCAGTGTCAGAAAATAATGATGGTGAGTCAAAATAATTAAAAATATCTGGCTTATATTTTTTTACCCAGAGGGTTGGGGTTTTATGTATTTATGGAGAATTATATACTATACTTTTAGTATATAATATTGAATATGATCAGTGGCACGGAGTTAATTGTTCTTCAGACTAATCTGAATGCAGCCTGGGAAGAGTTTTTACAAAAGCAAAAATTGCTAACTGAATGACTGTTGCAGAAAAGATTTGAATCTTGAAGAAGTCTGCGAACTTTTCTAGAATAAATCTATTGGAATTCTAAAATGATCATTACAGAGACCCAACAGAGTCAGTATAAAGTTATCTTACAGATTTCATTTATATTTGTCGTGTTTCTCATTGCATTTGAAAAATCATTTTATTTCCCTGAATAAACCAAAATTCTAAGTACTAGTCCTTGAAAATAAAAAATACAGTTTTAGGATGCAGCTGAGATTAATGTAATGTCCTAATTGCTGTTAGACAGTGTGAAGGGGTCTGGCTTCTCCTCCACCCATGAGAGACATGCACCCTCTGCCCCCCACAGTGAGCCAGTTCAGGGAGCTAAGCCTAAAGAAGACTGACCTTATGTAAACTGGCAGAAAAATACCTGGTTCTGTAGATACATGTAGGGGAGGGTTCTTTCTTCTGATGGTAAGTAGCTACTAGATGGATTCAGCTGGTTTAGTTTAGTTTCACAAACCACCTCACCATACATTTAGAAAATTGCAAATTCTACTTTATATCACCATGATTTTGCAATAAATTATTTTCTTTTAAATCTGTATAGTACTAATGGGATGAAAGTATATTTAATTTTGGCTTTGTGCAGCTTTTGCATATGAATGAGTGAGAATTATTTTCTTGGTGACATGTGCCATCAGATAAGCAAAGGTACCAGAACAGAGAGTGCAAGGGAAAATATCACCCAACACAAGATGCATTTATGCATATAAAATAGATACACTTGCTGGGCCAAAGAAATGGGAGTGTGCTTTTCACATGGAGCCCATGACCTGTGTATGAAAATATAATTGTTTAGTAAAACAGATAAGGTGCATTAATGACTGCTGTAAAAAAGACATTAATTAATAGCTCAAAGAGAGAAAGGAGTGAGAAGAGCATTGGATGGAGGGGAGAGGAGTAGAAAGGAGGAGTGTATTTCTTTCAAAGGAAGAGGTGATTTCCTTTCAAAATAATTAATCATGGGGAAAACATTTCCTACTTGTTTAAAGGATGCACAGAAGAAACATTCTGAAGAGAAATACAACATCTTCATGAAAGTCTGTGAGAACTTCCAGCCTGTGTTTCGTTATTTCTGCATGGAAAAGTTCCTGGATCCAGCCGTGTGGTTTGAAAAACGATTGGCATACACTCGCAGTGTGGCTACCTCTTCTATAGGTATTATATTGCATTATTAACATTGACTTTTTAGTTTATGTAAACAAAAAGCTTATACCATTTCAGAGGTAATGGCTATTCTGCTTTTGTCACATGTCAGAAAAGGGTGAGTAGGGAGCAAAAAATGCCAGCAAGAACACCAGCGTTATTTTTGTAATTAAGAGTTCTGATTCATTCCCCCCTCCCTTTCTGCAGTAGAAAGACAGAATGAAATTCTGTGTTTCTTTGTTTCATTTTTTTTGTTGAGGTTTTGGTTTGTATTTTTAGGTTCTGGTAGTTTTTTTTTAAAGTTTCTACCTGACTAATTCTGTTGTTTTGATTTAACATTTATTTCATCTGTAGCCTCAAATGTTTTAACAAAGTTGAAAAACTTAGTCTTTTACTTTCCTTGTAGTGACATCATTAGCCTTGTCTGAAATTTTTTATTAAGCTTTGGCATTTTTCTTTGAGTTTTTTGTCCTAATAAGAAAATATATGTACTTGAATTGTGTATTTCCTTTGGATGACTCAGTTCTCTACGGAGTCACTGGAAGACATTTGATAGTAGATTGTATACATTGCAATAGGTTCTATTTTAGATGTTAGCATGTTGTTTATACACCACATTTTTTGCTGAAAAAAAATGAAATAAATCTACAGATTAGCAGAATTCAGATGAAAGATTTTTGTAGGAAATGCTACTGCTATCCATGTCTATCAGCTAATAGAAAAACGGTAACAGGTGTAAATTGCAGCAAGGGAGATTTAGTTTGGAGGTTTTCTATGTTTAAGGACAGCAGAGCACTGAAACAGGTTTGCATGAAAGGTTTTATAATTTGCGTCACTGAAGATTTTTAAAACTGACTTAGACAAGAATTACTCGGGAACTCTTTAGGTATAGTTGAGCTGCCCCAACTGAATTATGTCCAGTCCTGTTTTCTGGATTACATAATACTGTGAACTAAAAGGTTTTCTTAAAAATAGTAATAATAACAAACCCTAATTTTATTATGCACTTGCTTTTTATATTTTTTTTATTTTTTTAAAGCTGTGAAATTGTTTGCTTAACCTATCTGCAGAGAGAAATGGCAAGAAGTCCATGGAGTAGATATAACAATAAACATTTGTGTGAGAATAACCATTTTGCAATTGCATTCAGTTAGCATTTTCTTTTTGGATTTGTGGAATGGCGTTTGCTTTTTACTGGAGTAATATGTATACATGGGTGAAGAAACATTCTCACTTTTAATTTGTTTGCATGTGTTACACTGATTGTAATAACCTTCTCTTTGTTAAATTTTCCCTGGGTTTTATGGCATGTAAATATGGTTTCAGCACTTAACCTTTTTGTTTTAGTTGGCTACATTCTTGGACTTGGAGACAGACATGTTCAGAATATCTTGATAGATGAACAAACGGCAGAACTAGTGCATATAGATCTGGGTAAGTGGGACAGGCAAGAGAACCTTAATTTTTCTTTACTTTAACATTTTTAAAAACACTTAATATTCTTTCATTTAGGGGTTGCTTTTGAGCAAGGTAAGATCCTTCCCACACCAGAGACTGTTCCATTTAGGCTAACCAGGGACATTGTGGATGGAATGGGTATTAGTGGAGTAGAAGGAGTCTTCAGAAGGTAAGTGCTCCCATATTGCATAGGGGTAAGGAAGCAGCAGAGTACTTTGGGCATTGTGATTGTTATATGCTAAATAGTTCTGGTGTTTGAGAGGCGATTCCAATTTCTGCTGATAATACCCAAACCTAAATGCTATCCTCTAACTCATACGCTCTTATTTATATAGCCAATTAAAAGTTCCTTATTGTTGCTCAGCTTTTTGTATTCTTTACTAACTAATGGTTTATTGTCACCTTCTTGTGGAATTCCAGGATGGCTCAGTACTTCCAAAGGATCCACAGATAAATTTCATCCCTTGATTTAGACTGTTGGATTTTTTTTTTCCTTCAGAACTATGTATTTCTTTCTGACCTATGCTATATATTTGGAGTTAAGTTTCATTGAACTATTTTGTTCTGTCTCTTACTTCAGTTTTGTGTAAGTAATTTGCAGTCTTTTTCCTCTTTCCGATCATACATTGATAGCGCTTTTCAAGTGCAAGATCTAAATCTGACAATAAATTTGAACTGCAAAACAGAAAAATCCCAAAAGAGCTGAGTTTCTGTGAACCTCCATCCTATCTCCTGTGAATGACCCAAGAGAGTCCTAAAAATCAGGACATTTCTCTCATTCAAGACTTTCATGATGTTCATGAATGCAGTGCTTGCAAACCCCAAATTTAATGTCTTTAAAAAATTACACAGTGTGTTGTCTTTGTAGGGTAGCAATTAATGTTAATAAGTAGTTCCTTTGTCCTGTGAAGGAACAGTCACTGCCACTTCTAAACATGATGCTGTCAAATTCACAGTTTCGTGTTATTTCTGAAACTTTTGTCCCATGATAGGGAAAACCATGAATTATTTGGCTCCAGCTGAAGGAAGTACAGTATAAAAGGCACTGGTGCAGGTACCGTTTCTGCCTCAGCCAGGCTGACTTGTAATTAACAATATAGATGCGAGTGCATAAACAAGCAGTCTCAAGATCTGATGTGAACATAGCCAGTTAACTTTGTTGTGTGTGTTCTCATCCTGAAGCAGACAGGAGGCCTAATCCCTTTTTCACTGTCTCATAAGGAAAGTTTCATATTCCTTCCACAAGCTTAGTTTGCTTGGGAGTGAACGTAGGTAACCACTTTTGTATCTAAACTCACTGGAGAGATTTCAGAAATAGCTTCACGTCTGGCTGCTGGATCTGCTCATTTCATGTAAAGGAACACTGTCGAGATTCTCCGACGTGTTGCTGAGCTCCTCTGGCGCACACATTTTCATCCAGCCAAGCAGTTCTGCCATCACGGTGTGCTGTAATGATCAGTGTTAAATCAGCGCTTAATTCTGCGTACAGAAATGTTTCAGACAGTGAAACAGGTAATCTCTTTCCTGTAGGGAATATAATCAGTCAGCTACCCAGACTCCTTTTGGCCTTACATGTCTAAATTTCTCCTTTTTTTTTTTTTTTTCTAAAATTGAAATACCGAAGAAGTTACTCATATGTTAGTAATTAACCTTTATGAAGGGTACAAATATCCATTATTTAAATGATGAAAATACCATTCCATTTTACCAAAAAGAACCTAAAAATACAGTAAAATATTTTCTAGATGCTGTGAGAAAACAATGGCTGTTATGAGAAATTCTCAAGAAGCTTTGCTGACTATTGTAGAGGTAAGCATTTTTTCATTCTTTCTGATAGTAACCTGCCAGAATATCTTCAGTGTCTTGTCTTTGTCTTCATATGCATTACTATACCAAATATTCCTGTAGGGGCTTTTTGTTCAGTTTTATTTCAGTAGCATTGGTTGGATTTCTTAATTCACATGATCTTAATAAAATCACAACCAGTTTGCATTTTGTTTGGGAACTATTCATTTCAGACGTATGCAGTTTTCCCTCATCAGTATCTAAATGCTTTTAGCCATTGTGCAACGTTCCTAGCATGAGTAGTGACTATTGAATTAAATCCTCTTTGCCTCAGTCACAAAGATGAGAATTAAACTGACTTTTAAAAGCACCTTCTACTATGCATTAAAAACTAATTATGATATTTAGTGCCTAAAAGTGTATTAAAGAATTACCTCTTCATTGCTGAGATGGGACTGAGTGGCAAAATGGAGTCAAGTATGAACAATGCAAATACCTGCACATGATCAGATGGTTTATTGTTGGATTGTCTACTAAGCAATTTAACCCAATTCTATTGGGTTTACAAAAAAAACAAAGCATCCTCCAAATATTGTGGTTAGCATGAGTATTACCAACTGAGTGTTTCTCTTCCTGCTAGGGCACTGAACTAGCTGTAATCAGCATTTTAAATTAAATATAGGTTTATTTACTGTGTAGGTGCTGCTCTATGATCCTCTTTTTGACTGGACCATGAACCCCTTGAAAGCTTTGTATTTGCAGCAGAGACCGGAGGATGAAGCTGACATGAACTCTACACTCAATTCTGATCCACAAGAATGTAAAAGAAAAAACAGGTGCAAGATTTTTTTCATACTGTCTGCCTGCTGCACTGTTGCCTTGCTTTACACTTTTCTCACTGAATGTTGCTCATGTTATTCAGGATCCATATCTAGTGCACCTGTTTTTCTTCTTTTTTTATTCTGCCAGCAGTGATGACCAGAGTTTTAACAAAGTGGCTGAGCGTGTTCTGATGAGACTTCAGGAGAAGCTGAAAGGTGTTGAGGAGGGAACAGTGCTCAGTGTGGGAGGGCAGGTGAACCTCCTCATACAGCAGGCCATGGACCCTAAAAATCTGAGCCGGCTCTTTCCTGGATGGAAACCCTGGGTGTGACTTGGGAGGATCCAGCACATTTTTAGAAGAAACCTATTTTTTTTATGCAGCAAGTGTCTTTAACATTTCATACTGGTATTTCACAATTAAAACTTCTATCAGGAGCAAACATGAAGGCTTATGCATCTTAGTATTCGGTGGATGTTTTGGGTTCCTTTTTCAATAATGTGTTACCAAGAAACCATTTTTTGTCCATTTATGTTCACCATACAGTATAAAACACTATCCAGTGCTTTGATGTTCCTTGTGACCTGCAGGGACTTTGCTTGGGCGTTCTGGGTGCGTTACCTTCTTAAAGCCTGAGATTCATCACTTTTGTGTATATGTTAAACAGCTGGAGTCTTGTATATAATAATTCCACATGGCAACAGGACCATGTAGAATGGATGATTAACAACCAGGAGTCATGAAGTAACTATCTAAATTGCATTTCAAAATGGGGGGGTTATACTTTAAAGATAATGCTACAGTGAATATAAAAGAAAACCAGAGAACCTCAGTTTTAATGAACCGAGGGTTCTTGGGGTTGGTTTTTTTCAGCTTAGTTAAATGGACATTTCTTTATATAGATATGGACTTTGAGCCAAGTATAATATGGCTGCTATTTTTCCTGTTGTAAATGAAATTATGTTGGTACTTCTTTTGATAACATTTCTGTAATAGTATAAACCAATAGAAATTATTTAGTTTATGTAGCTCAAACTTCCTTGATAAAATGGACTGGCTATACAGTGAAGCTTAGCATACCAGATATGCCTCTAAAGCAGAGTCATTCTGTATCTGGAATAAACACCTGTTGGAAACACTGAAGTTTTATTCTGAGCACAAAAATCTCATTCTGATTGCCTGCAGTTTTACAGAAGACATTTCTCCTTCTTAAGTAAAAAGACCTCCTATAATTGGATAGTCAATGAATATGGATAATAGAATCCACTCAAATAACAGTCTCACTGGTGTATTTAACAAATCTTCATGAATCATCTTTATATTTAAAAATGTGAATAAAATTTGGCATACTCACATTATCTTACAGTTTATGTATTTTCACAGCAGTATAAGTGATGCATTTCTGTTCTAATTAGCATTTCACTGATTTTTATTTGTACAGTTTTCCCTCAGTTTTTATGCTCCATCTTTGTTTTATAAGTTAATGTCAACATGACAAGATGAGTCTTTTGTATCAAGTTTACATGAAGCTGACATAAATTTCTGTTGCTCCTTGGAACCAAAAGCGCATCCTGGCTTTTCTGTGGGGAAGAGCTCTCATGCAGGGATACCGTGATTTGTTCTCTGAAAATGAAACTTAACTGACAGAGCATGCACTCTGTATGAGAAAAGGGAGAGAAGTCCTACCAAACAATTGCAGAATGGCAGGCAGGAAAGGACAAAACAAAAAGCACTTAAGGAATTTTTATTTTTAAGCAGAGTCTTAAAAATATCTGGTAGTATTTCTGGAATTTTTTCTCATGCTTCTTCTAGAGTAAGTTTAAGCATTTAGACATTTTGGGGGTTATTTAATACTAAAACTCTAGCTACTATATAGATGAATACTGCATAAAAGCACTTGGCAGATCCTGTCCTTTCTTTATGAGTTACTGATGCTCCACTTTAAAAGGAATGTTTTTATCATGATGGGCTGCAATTTAGGTTTTTTACTTACAGCAGACAGTGAAACATTAATATAATTGTCTCAGCAAAGTCTAACTTCAGAGGAAATAATTATCCCTCTGCATTGTTCTTAACTTGGTGTTTAGTGCCTAGACTTTGAATGTCCATACATTTTCATTGTTCAGGCTGAATGAAACACAGATAAAAATGCATGTAAATACTGTAAATGTAATTGAAACCTGCTTAGATTATTTGCAAGCTCCTGTAGCAGTGGAGCACCAGTTAGCTGACAAACATATGAAAACAGTTTGAATTATTAACAAACCTTAGTCTCCAAAACACTCAAAATCAACGTGACACAGTCCTGTTACTATGAGATCTTAGTTCAACTAATCTCACATTCGTGAGATAATTGTCATCCATGCAAAGCCTCATGTAGCCACATGACAACCATCAGAGACTGTGCTTTATTTTGTGTTCCAGTAATACCTTAATTTTTAAAAGTCAAAATTAGAAAGTGAATGGTCTGCAAAAATGTGTCATCTGTAGTTACACACTTTCCTTCAATAAGAATAGAAATGTTAAACCTGGATGGAAATGCTTTTTAATTCTGAACAATGGTTTTGTCACAAATGCTACTACAGATGGGAAGATGGAATAGTATTTGGGAGCCTCAAATATATTTTTTATAGTAGTAAGCTAGAAATATGTGAGACAGGTCAATTTTGCCTCTTTAACATTATTTTTTTTTCTTGGAATGCATTTTAGTAATTTTAAACATTTACATTTAGAAAATATAATTTCTAGGAAAAATGAACCTGTGATCTAGTATAATGGGGAAAAGTTTTTAAACAACAAAATCTTTATTTGAAATTGTCTTTTTCTGGTGAAATGTCTGTTAGACAAATGTCCTCAGGAGTATGGACTGTAAAAAAGTTAAGTGTTAGCAGGTAATCCAATCTGAACTACAGACCTTGACTGAACTTTTCTATCAGCAAGGAACTCTGTCTCATGAATAGGGATCAAGGCATCACAGGCAGATTAAACTGGCCGTCTGGTGAGGTGCATCCAATTTAAATAAAACAAGGATGTCAGTCTTCATGAGTTTCAGATTTGAAACCTGTTTTTCTTACAGATAAAACCACCCGAAAGTAATTTTTTTCAGTATCTGTGAATTAATTAGGTTGCAGTTCTGTTACTATGAAAGCCTTGAGTTTATAAAAAGTATTCACTATCACTAAATGTTTTCGAGTGCACTAAAATGTTAGGCTTCATATTTTCAGGGGATAATGCACTCTATTATACGTGGTTAGTGATTGTTTTCTTCATTAATACTGTTATTCCATACCTGCAGAAGTGGTAATGCTTCAACAACAAAGGGTCAATAAAGATACCTTTGTAAACAGGTGATTCCAAAATCTTCCTGGGGAATTTGGTTGTGTGATTGGTAAGGGATGACACTGTATGGTTTTACTGCTACTTTCATCCCTGTGAATTTAAAACTAAAACAAGGCAGTCGAGTTTTCTTGTAGAACCTGTAGATAGCCTGAAACAGCTCTTGGGGAGAGATTACCTCATACTAGTGCTTAATGATGACACAAATATTAGCATTAAATAGATTTGTTCATTTCAGCAGGTAGGCTGAAGAGTGAAACCACAGCGAGAAAGCTGGGAAGTGTGTAGGGGAGGGTTCAGGTTCTCTTCCCACCACATTTCAAAGTCTTTACCTGTATCCTAATTATATGAGAAGACTAATGTGTTGTTCACATAATGCATGTGCCCATCATCTGTGCTGCATGTTAACACTGTAAGTACACCTGTACCTCAGCTTTCAGAGCTGCACAGTGAATAATGTCAGCCATATTTCTAAGGGCACACACAGCTTCTGCTCTCCCTGCTCCCTCATTCTTTCCTCCACAAAAATGTGGTGCAAAGTGACTACACCCTTGCCTGCCCAGGAGAGTTCCCACTGTAGCCTCCATAGCTGTTCCTCCCTCTACCCACTCCCATTTTGCCAAACAACACACAACATAAAACAGGCTTGAGCTTAGTGGCTTGCCTTGGTTGCTGAATGCCACCTATTCTGGATGCGAAGCAAAAAGGATTATAGAAAATGAAACTACCTATAGAAGATCCCCCTTTTGAAGGGACTTCTCTTCTTGGATTGAGTTGTGCAGAAGTCCTACACTCTTAAAAATTCCTCAGCCATGTTGCACTGAGTCTCCCCTGCAGTTTCTAGGATGAAGCAGTGTTGCAATACGGGTGCTCTGTGGTGACTGCTGCTCGAAGGTTGGCTGTTAACTAGCAGAATTTGAAGTAGTACTATTTTTTTCTTCACAGACAGGTTTTTTCTGTAGTTGAAACGGAACTGAAACGGTGCTGGGCATGCTCCTCATACACTCACGCATCAAGAATGCAAGAATAAGAGAAGGAAGGGGTGGAAGGAGAGAAGGAGAGAGGCACTCTGCATGCTTTTCTAACTATTGCAAAATAAAGTTTTCAGATCTCTAGTCCCAGGCCATGTGCTGTTTGGCTGTGGCTCTGGATTATAATGAATCCTTAATAGTTTCTTTGATAAAATCCTTAATGCTAGTTACTGCTAAATCACCTCGCTGTTCCCAGAGTACTGTTCTACCAGTGCAGGAAAATCTTGCCATAGAGAACACAGGAATTTTTTAGTACCTTGATCTGGTCACCCAAGGCCCCTGTTTTGCACCCCCACACACCATGTTTGCCTTCATAGAAGCAGAAGAAATTGAGTTTCTGGACTGGCAATTTTGTGTTCTGGGAATTAAACAAGTGACATAGCAGGAATGAAGCCATTTCCTAAAATGTAGTTCTGCATCACAGCTAGAATTTGTTGTATAGGAAGTTGGACAGCTATCATGAATATAAAGTTCTTCAGCCTGTGATGCCTTGATCAGCATTATGGAATAGATTTTTCTGGTGGGCAGGATTAATTTCTTAGCATTTGGGAAAACTCCTTTATGCTTTGTGAGATGTCAGCACCTAATGTGCCAAAATGGCAGTTCCTTAAGTTGACTGAAGTCTATACAGTTGTTGATTTTGGTCCATCATTTAACAAGGGACAGTTAAGTAGTTTTTCCACATCCATTATATAAGCATACAAATATTATTGAAGTATCTACTTAAAGTATTTCCATCTGAAAAAAAAATAAAATTAATTCCACTTGGAAACTAATCTTTTCGTTTCTCACTGGTCCCTCATATGAACGCACAGCATTATGCTTCCCACTTCTTATTAATGATTATAGTATTTTTGTACAGTATATAACCTCAATAAAGGAAGAGTAGATTCTTGCTTTTGTGTGATTTTCTTCCATCTAGATAAGGATCCATTAGATTCTCACCAAAGTTATTACGACTTCCGTATGAAAAACAGCTTTGCCTCCACACGTACTTTCCTCAAACTACTTGCATCTGCGATAGAGAATTCTTCAGATTTCCCATAGAGATAGATTTTTATTTCTAGAAGACAAAACATTCAGTTGTAGGTGTTTCTCAGGTCTCTAGGGCCACTGAAGAGAGAATTATGGCTTTGGAAACTCTATACAGAAGTGCTCCATACAGAGTTCAGATTACAGTAAAATAAATATTTAATAAGGTAGTTGTACTTCATCTCTCATGACTTACCTGGAACTTCCAGAAACCTTCCAGTCATTGTACCCCTGATCTTACCTTTGGCTGAACACTACTGTTGGATTTTGGCCCATCGATAATTAAATGTGCGTACAGTCAGTTAGCCAAAGACAATCCAAAATTACATAGTTGTACAATAGCTGAAGCTTGCAGTATGACGTTCCACAAGGTATCTTCAACCCCCACTGTCCTGTTAAAGATGGGAATTTGACTTCTTACCAGCAAGGTCATATACCGTGAGTTTTATCCACAATAATTTGTTCAATAGAGAGTTACAGTTTCAGTCCTCAAGCCTCCAGTCCTGCTTCCAGCCCCCTAACGTGCCGTGGAAGTTGTAGGTAACGCTTGTCAACAGGAGAGTCTTTGCCCAACTGAGTACTTCCCATGGGCAGTTTACAAAACACATGTTTTCATGGAGGAGAGATTCTTGGAGTGCCCCCGACTCGTGTTCAAGTGGTTAGCACCTCGGGGCTAGACCAATACTCCTCCGTTAAGATCTTCATTCCATGAAGTTTGCCAGGGTGTCTAAAATAGCTCTTACATTATGCAAATCTTTAATTTGAAAGTAACATCAGCTTATTCAATTAAAATCTAGAAATTAAGTCAATTAATCAGACAAAAAAAAATAAGCAATATCTCACCAACCTCGTTTGTATCTCTCACTCTGCTTGTCTTCACATTGGTTTGTGTTTCCTTTTTCCAGCAGACTATCTGACTGCACGCACACACAGGCCAAGTCCAAGGATGGATCCCTGTCAGGGGCTCTTTTGGGTTCCATGTACATTAATTGCCTTAGGAGGAGATTTTTCATCAGTTCCTGAAATACCTCTCTCTTGCAGACCGATCTGCAGTTTTAGGATGACGCTTAATCCTGTGTTGCATGAGCGGGGTGTAACGTGAGGTTATCTGGGAACGTTTGTGGATGTAAAGCCTGTTGGGCCAGTGCGTAGTTGGGAGGAGCCAAACCTCAGGCAGTGCCATCCGCTGTCCCTTTTGGCCCCTGTGCCCGGGACAAACTGTCTGGCAAACTAAAGCTGAGTATTGCTCAGAAAGAGTCAACTGCTGCTGTCCAAAGCAGAGCCCAGAAATGAGATGATTATTAAGCAGCCTGGAGAATCAGGGATCCAGCTTGCTTGACCAATGGCCCTTGAGTGTGCTTCCTAGCCCCTTTCTTATTTAGCAGTATAGACTTCAGTTAAGCAAAATCCAAGATGAATTACGTGTTTTTCAGGGCTTAGGGATGATGCTTCAGACAGGCCCCGTGGTTAGGTTTCATCTTCCCTAAAAGCGATACTGGTTGCAATGAAATATCCCCTTACAACATTCTTTCCTGAGTAGCGCTTCTGGGTTCAGTCAACTGCCAGAAATAAAGCAAATGGTCTGGGACAGAGATAGAATAATCACAGTTTACAAGAGGACTGCAAAAGGTATTTAAGTAAATGGTTTCAAAAGAAGTTAAACATTGAAATTCCTAGTGGTAAGTGCTAAATACAAGTATGACTGTGTAATACCTTTTTCAGCTTTCACTATAAAGTTTGTGCATTAATTCAGCAATATACTGTGCAGAAGCCTTATGCTGTGCTCTGAAGAAAAGTACTCTGACCAGAGAAATTATTGCAAATGTAGATTAGAGCAGAACTGGATTACATTGCTGTTTGTATTTATGAACAGGAGAGTCCACTACAAAGCAGTTGACATATGCTTTTTCAGTCAGGCAGTGCTTGTTTCATCAGCTTCTATTGCTGAAATTACAACTCCACATCACAATAGAGTAGAGCAAAATATAAACAAATATGAGCAAAATTACCATTTAGGATTTGTATCCACTGGAAAAATGTCTTCCTCGAAGTAAAGGTGAACTCGCTGGTGTTACATCTGGTCCTGATATGAAGTCTGCTTCTCTTACATGAAAAGGAGTAAAGGTTTCTGTTGTAAATTACGGTGTGAAATCTGAGACAATTCATACGGATCATGCTGTGACTTAAGAAACTGGAAATCTTAGCAAAAGAGTGGAAATGCGGGTAAAGATATAATTTAGATCTTTAAAATTACACTATCTTTACTTTTACCTACTACAAATTCGTATAACACTAACTTAAAGCTAAAAAAAAAAAAAAAAAAAATCAAAGCTAGAGACAGGTCTGTGTTACAGAAATGGAGATAGAAGAGAATTAACTTTCCCTAAAACCGCACATCTAACAAGCTAGTTTCTGTAATTATGAAACATAATCTGATATTGTGAGCAACAACTTGTAACTCCCCAAAACAGGGACTGAGAAAAGCAGTCTGATAAAGAGATAAGGGGTGGGGGCAGAGCGGGGGCCCTCTCACCCAAGGAATGCCTCAGACACTCACAAGTAATGGGGGTCACGGGATGGATAATGTGGAGGCTGGAGCTGATAAGGCGGCCTGGGTAGCACTTGTAAAGTTTCAAGGGCCATCTGTCCAGTGAATGACCTTTGCTTCATTATCCATGAAACACATATTAAAGTTGACACCCCTGAATATGCTAATGAAGACTAACGAGATCATGCGAATCACATCAGCCCATGAAGCACCTTATCCCTCCCCATACATGTCATATGTAGGTATGTGGGTTGACCTAGGGGAGGGACCCAAGGAAAGTGTGTATAAATTAAGGGGGGGTGAGGAGTGAAAAAAGCAAGCAATAGATAGAAAGACAAAAAGAGGCCGTGAAAAGGACAGAAGTGTCCCTGACTGACTCGGACGGGACCAGCGCAGGGCCCCAAATTGGTGACCTCTATTTCTCTATTATCTCTCTATCTCTCTTCTTTTCTTTTCCCCTTTTCCCTTATTGCCATTAAGTAATGCGAGGCATACTACATCACTTGCCATAATGCATCATGTACTTAGCCAATTATCATGTATCCAGTTAGTACATTGTGGGAAATTAATAAATGTCTGCGCGTGGACTTTGAGATTTGTCTCACCGTTGTCTGCTCCATTAGGGATTTATAAATCTAAGTCACCTGCCTCCCTTGTCTGAACAGGACATGACAGATATCAATGCTCTGGTTTTTTTACTTAATAATTTCTACTTAATATTGCTCTATTGGTAAAAAAATGTTATTTCTCATAAAATCAGTTTGTTGGCCGTTTTTTTTCCAGACAGCAGTGTAAGTCCTAAATTACATCCATTTCAATTATGTAAGTGTAAATGAGAAGATAATCTGGCTCTTCATATGATTCTGTTTTGGTTTTTTTGACTTGCCTCACTACCTTACTCAGTCAATAATGTATGTTAACACACCTATACATTGCATAATACATAAATAGATCATACACACTAAAAGGCCCTTGGCTATGTCAAAACACAGAAACTGAGGCCTAACTGATGCCCTATCAGCACACAGCAGTCCTACCGGTATAATTAAAACCAGTTTTAAATCAATTTATTTAGGTCTGTGAAAACCACTGTGGGTGCAAATCTCCATGTGACACACATCTGTTTATAATTATCCCTTATCTGTTTATCTTAATTCTGTCACTTACACACAAGGTCTCATAAAGCAATGACAATACTCAAGGTATTGTGTTAAGGTAGACATTATATGCAGAAAGATAAACACAGACCTCTGAGCCTGTGGTTCTCCTCAGGATATATGACGATTACTTAAAGCAAAAGTGTTCTGTCATCATTCAGTTCCAAATTACCAGCTTTACTTTACATAAAGCATGGAAGTAAGCTTCTGGGCTCCCTGTTTACACTGTTCCCACTGTCCTTCTCAACCACTTTCCGTTTCACTCCTACGCTATTTTTTCTCTTGGTTCTAATGGTTTCAAAGTATCATTTTTTTTTATTTATTCCTGAAGCCCCCGACTGGATGCATCTTTCAGCCTGTCTCTCCAGTACTTCACTCATTGTTTCCTGCTTCACTAGAGCATGTGCATTACAGATGTAGCTGAGGGGTCTTTTTATAGTTTTCTGCTGTAAAAGACCTGTTCATCACTTAATTATAGGCCTGCTTGACACTTTTAAAGTTAAATAATGCTTTAAGAAATTGCATGTCTGTAAAACCATTTTAATAAATGAATTTGATGGTATAAAAAGAAAAATTCTTTTCACATTTCTATCCTATTGCATTGTCCAATCACTCTTTATTAGACATATGAATGTCTCAGTAAGGAAGTGATCCAATTGACTATACACTGAGGAGTTTAATGAATTTCTTAGCTGGAGGAGGAGGCTGTTACAACATGTTCTATATATCAAATAAGTCCTTTACTTTAAATGCTGGCTGTCACAATGCATTTCACAAATCCAATTTATTCGTAACTCATTATTTTGATATTGGTCTTCCTAGTCTCTCTGTGAACTAATTAGAATTTACTGAAAAACACTTCATCATCCACTAAGAGGAAAATTAGGGCTTCTTTTTGTAGAGTGCTGAATTTTTTTATGGTCAGAGTGATTTATCCTTGTGGAATAATATGAACCAGCTGTTTTCCCTGAAAGATCCATGAGATCACTCCCACATATTGATGTCTGGCCTTTGTGGCATTTTTTGTTATGTGCAAGAAGGCACACATTTCCTAATACTGGAAGTGCTAAACAAAAGGAAAGTGCTGCAAAGAACTGCATTTGCCTTCATGAGATTGTCTGTTTCTCTTTGAAAAGTACAGTGAAGAACAAAATAAAT